TGTCAGTGAAATTGAAGAAAGAAATTTGGGAAGCAAATGATAATTTAAATGTGAAGAAACGATATTTTGAACGAAAATGATAGGAACAAAGAGGGAGAGGAAAAAGTAGAGAGCGAGAAGGAAGAAAGGAAAAAGATAGGGAAAGTGAGTAACACATAGATTAGTTGATTTGTAAGATCATTTCTGCGTGGACAAAAGATACTTTTTATATTGAACTTTAAATGATTTGGTAGAAGATGATAGCAGTAAAGGATCTAATCTGTGCAGATTGTTGATATGACGGACGAGTTCTGTACTTATAATCCAATTTTATTCAAAATTGGAATCAGAGGAATTTTTGGTATCTGAGCGATTTTAGGGTCGGAGAATATGAATTACTCGTCAAAATTGGAAAATTCGAATGGCGGATCCAATATGGCGGATGAGTTAAGTAATTATGTTTCGATTCTATCTGAAAATTTAAGATAGCGGATCCAATATGGCGGACGACTTTTGTAATTTTTATCCGACAGGCAGCACGATTTCCAAACGAGCTAGAAATTAGATAGTTTACTATATCTGAAAATACTGCATCTTCTGCAACCCAAAACCTGAACATTAATTTCTGAGTACGCCTTTGCATGTCGTTTATCGTCACAATTGGATTGACCATGTTATGAAAAATCAAATAAAGATAACACCCGAAAAACAATTGCAACATCGTTCACAACGTTCACAATATGCACACTATTTCAAGTATATCTATCTACTGGGAGTAATCCAACTAATTAATTAATTGATCAGCACGTTGTCATCCCATGAAAAAAGTCCTGGACTGCTATTGAATATTTCCACATTCAACCATTGATGAAAATCATCACATACCTCAATTAATTCCCTCATCCATTCGAATGTGTTCACGACCTGTTTGAACAAATCGTCTTTCCCCGCTTTCATTGAAAAAATACCCGAGTAGTCTATGACGTGTGGATTCAATGGCCTAATCTAATCAATCCAATCAATCCAATCATTCCAATCAATCCAATCAATCCAAGTTATTTCATTCAGTGTGATATTACGGTTTTCACCAGCCGGCATGAAAGATCTAGTGTACCCCCCAATTGGTGAGGTTATTCTGCGAACCAATAATTTGCGCAACTATAGTAACCCATCTTCACCATAGGCTAAACATTGGTCAGATTTACAGATGAATCCCGTCTGTCTGAAGAGCCACCAACATAAATCTGGAGAGCCGAGGAATAAGAGCAACAAGTGTTTATATGTCCGACAATCAATAAGCGGATCTCACAAAACTAGATATGCTTGAATTCAAGAATATAGCGACACTCTGGAGGAATTCCTCGAGGAATTCATGAGAAATAAAGAGGTAACACTGTAATAGATTCAACCCGCCGGTATTTTTTTATCGAAAGGAAATCCCTATATGACTTCGAGCATTTCTTCCTTCCTTCCTTTGATCCTTATAATATGTTCGAAGAACATCGTGCGTACCTATAGGGATAGGGAGAGGAGATAGGTAATGATTTTTCTTACTCTCAGAGATTATAAGTTCTTGGAAATACTTCCTCAAGCAATGAACGGATGCAAATTGCATCTAAAAATATAACTCGTGCTTGTATTAGCGGTATTAACATATAATAATAAATTGTGATATTATGTTATTGTGAGAATTTGAGTAAGTACGTGAAATTCAAACCACGAAGATGAACCATATCATAAGTTCTGTGCTTGTTCCATGTATTGTGGTTACTGGGCTTTCCTAACCTCACTTTTTCTGGGATTTTCAAGAATTTTTTGTAAGGAAATTAGCAGCACTCTTCTTCTGTACCGAAAGACGATCCCGCGTTGTACCTATTATACATACCCTCTTATACCTATTTCATATTTTCATTTTACAAATCTTTCGACGTTTTGTTACTATAATTTGTATATGGATTGGGATAAAGTTAACATTTTTACTTCTTTTGTTTCACTGTGTGTTTAGCGGTATATTCACCGATTTTTCAATTTCGACAATTGATGAAATTCCACGAATATATCCTAAATATCTTGGTGTTGCATTTGAAATTGATACAAATAATGATGTCGAAACCAGTAAAAATTGATTGATTGATGATTAGAGCTATGTAGATAGACATATAGTCAGCACTGTGTGATCTCACAGGAGCATATCTCATTCAAGTCTCAATCTTTGTTGTAGATCCTAATAAACACGTATGTTTATGATAGGGACACATATAATTATCAATAAGTACATTGAAAAAAATGGGACAAAAAAGGATGATGTTGCATAACTGATATAAGTCTGTGATTTCTTTGAGGTGGACATTCATATATGCTATATCTCTGATGGGGATATATCTGTGATAAGACATGGAACATTTTGAAATGCAGCAGTGATGAAGTTGCTGTTTTGGTCAACTGGGTTGGTACCTACCAGACATTAATTGTTATATCAGACATACTGAGTTCCGTTTTTCTAGAGAAAATACAGGCTTAAGTTTTGGTAGCATTAAATTCGACTAGGTTGTTGGTTCCCCGGGCTATGATTTCATCAGGACCTTCAATAGCATTGACCTGCCTTCGCCGCAAGTTCTTAGTTTTGGGAAGAAATGGGAATTCTATAAGAGAACGCAGTATGGAGAGTACTATACTCTGCAAAGCTGTGGATAGGGCAAGTTGTTACAACCAACATATCATTGATATGAAGTAGAAACAATGTTGGTTCCAAAATTGATCCATGTGGAACGCCGTAATTGATGGACATGGTATCGGACGATACATCGTCCACCACCACGTGTAGCGATCTGAAAGGAAACTCGATGAGAGATGGCATTGCTGAAGTTCTAAGCCGTATGAGGGTATAGTTTGTCAAGGAGTCCTTGATGCCAAACACGGTCGAATGCTTTGGATATGTCTAGAGATTCCCCATGTTTTTATAATTGATGATTCCTGAGCTGTCCAGATATTTGATAAGGTCAATATGTTGATGGCCTTCTCCATCACTTTGGAGATAAGTGATAACAGGGCATAGGACTGTATAGTTGTTGGGCAGGTTTTTGTTTCCTTTTTCGGGGATTGATTGGGAAAAATACCCTAGTGGTACGAAATGGTAAATAACTTGCAGAGAATCGGTGTCAATACTGGTACACATTTTTTGAGGAGAATGAGTGGAATTCCAAGCAAAACGCGTCTAATATAGTGCGTTGACGGAAGACGATTTCGGGCATTCGACTTTCAACGGGTAGAATATCTAGCGGCACTTTTTCTAGAGAATCTGAAGTAGAGTTTGCTGCCAACATCTCTGCAAAAATATTTGATTCCTCCTGCGATGTTATTAATATACCGTCGGCTTTATAGAGTGGTGGTAATTAACTATTAGTGAAATTCCTCCCGACTGCTTCAGCGAGGAAACAAACCGAACGAGAGTTTTGATCTTATATATCTAGGCATTGTATATGTTTCTTTTGATGCATCTATTGTTTGGCTGCAGTTATTCCTGGATTCAACTTATTCTGCTCGTCGCGAGGCGAATCGCGAGGTTAGGGTTTTGGTTTTGGCGATGGTAGGCTGTTTGTTTGAAGGCTCTAGGGCAGTTTTTGTTTAACCAGGGTTCCGAAGGTGATGATCTTTTCAGAGAATGAGGTATGCATGTGTCCATTCCAAGCGTGATGATCTCGGATATTTCCGCAGCACACTGTGGAGGATCCTCAGAGTCAAAGAATATTATGTGCCAAGGAAAGTCGAAAAAACATGCGGGGACCGTCCGAGTCTCCTGAATTGTAATGAGGGTGCCGGAGCAGTTGATGGAATGAAAAATATGCAGGTTGTGGAAATGAGTGGTCAGAATTTCCAAGTGGAGCTCGTGCATCTATGGTGTATTAGGTGCTGAATTATTAGTGAGGAATAAGTCAAGTGTGTTAGCTGAATGGTTATTGACATCGGTTATTCGTGTGGGTTCCTTGATACACTGCTGTTAGCCGTGACTGATGGCAAAAGCTTCAGATTGTCGCCCAGCTTCATCCGTTTTGTTGGAGTGTACGAGCCAAGCAGTGTTGTGATGATGATTTCTGCTGATGGGTGGTTCTGTTGAATTTGGTCAAGCTTCTGAGACAAGAATTCGAAGACTCCTTCATGGATGGATAATTTGGTGATAAGTAGAGACAACAGAGATATTTGGTATGTTTCCGGCTATCGAGTTTGATCCACATAACATCAAACTTATTTGGTTCCAAAGTTTTTTCTGGATGCCATGAGAGATTCGTTGAACCTGAAACGTGCGTGGAGTTCGTACACAACAGGACAGAGCATATAGGTCGTGTTGGTGGATGAATCTTTGTTTCACTCAAAGCCAATATGTCTGGCGCTCTTAAATCTGAAGGCATCGATGGATACCGTTGATGTTCTCACTTAGGCCCTGGATGTTACGTAGGTCTATCTTGAGGATTTTTTCAGCCGTAATGAACCCCCTTTGGCACTTCTCTCCAGGAAATCCGACTGGAGAGGTATTTTACTTCCAGATAATTTTATTTGAGAAGAACTCATCATCGCTTTCTGTATCAAAGATGGAATGTTGGTGTGGAAGGAAAAGGTGTGATTTGTCCATTTCCTACGATATCGTCTTTTCCGTCAATGTAACAATTTGTCGTGAAGTTCCACATTGAGAATAAAAAAACGTAAGTCTGCTCAAGTCTTTCGTCAACTTGAGGTTTTCTATATTTGTTCAAATATTCCACATAATTTTTTCCGAATATTTTCGATAAAACAGGCCAGAGCCTTTAGGACTATCCGGCAACATTATTGGATTTCTGACTGACATATTGACCTCATGTTTTAGTATCGCCAACTGGTGAGACTGAAATTGTTAGTCCTCATCATTTTATATGAATTTTCCGGAAACCTGATTACCATGGCAATCTCCACTTGCATACTTGTACCAATAAGGGTGGAGAGTAGCGTCGAAAAACCGCATGACTTAACCTATAATTTTTTATTTTCAGACCAAGAATACACGGTGTTCGTTCCGACCGACCACGCTTTCCAAAGGTGGCACCCCATCGACTGGGGCTTCTACCCCTTCAGCGTGCCCGAGTTCACCGAGAGCGTTATCGTCAACCACTTTGTCAGGGGCCGACTGAAACAGGACACGATCAAAGATGGCGACGTAGTGAGGACTCTGGGTGGAAAGGAAATTGTTTTCGCGAAGACTCGTAGGTATTTTTCCCGGAAGCCCGGTGAAAAAATTATAATTCTGAAGTTTGCACTCATTATGTTATCTCTAAGATATTCAGGCACAATCGAGACGTCCATGATGAATGGATAGAAAAGAAAATATATTGATAAAATATGAATGTTCAATGATGATTTCACAACCACAAACCGTCGAATGAACATTTGGTATAGTTCATTCAGTCGCAGGGACATTTGGATAAACTATACCATCCTCCTGTAGTTCATTAAAATTCACTTAGAACTCAGAGTAGCTGCAATGGCAAAATCTGATGCATCTGTCGAAGAATGTGGAGTCATCGTCAATCGTCAACAAAACTGATATAGATTTCCGCAGGCCACGAATAAAATTAAATGTTCTCCCTCATCAAAATAGGAATTTGATGACATGCACTCTGAAGATCTGTAAATCCACTGATTGTTTGGGAGTAATCGAGCACCATACGTTTCTTATGATTATATTGATTGTTATCAAAAATTGTGCTCGCCAGAGTGAATGACTCTTCTCTCTTATACCGTCCAAGAGGAGATCTTCATCAGAGTATCGTCTTGATTTTTTAACAAGGGGATTACAATATTGCTTCACATTCTGGAAGATAGGAATTGGAGATATCATGGCATGCGAAAGACTACAAATCTTGACTGAGTGGTTCTCTCTCAAATGCAGAATAATTCTTGAGGAAATCATGCACTAAGATCATGTCAGCAAATAGAATCCTCATGATCAATTCCTTTTTCTCTCCTCTACTTTCATCTGAATATTTCAAGCAATTACTCTGTTGGGTATAATTTTATCTAGACCTTTGTACGACTTTTCGTGTTTTGATATTTTCAGTCTCGGAATCGGAATCCCATTCCTAACTTGCAGAATTTGAGTTGGGATCAGCTTGGAACGTCCTGGTCGTGAATATCTATCAATTAACGAGTAGCATTGCAAGTTTTACTCAATTAATGGTGTAGAAAATTGAAAGCAAAGGATTGGCTTCATTCAGCAAAATAATACACATATCAAAATCACGATATCAAAATGTTACCATATGACAAATGTCACAACTCAAGGTACGGCATGCTTTGAAACTGCCGCGAATCAAAACCTTCCACTGACGGCACTGACTGATTCCTCCCCATTTCCAGCCAGCCTGACGGTGAACGGCGCCATGATCGTGAAAGGCGACACACCGGTGGCACACGGCAACATCATGTTCGTCGGCGAGGTGCTGTTCGTGAGCGAGGCCGTCGTCTCCAGGCTGCACCAGCAGCACAAGGACAAGGAGACGCCGCCACTGCTCGCGTTCCCCTGGTTCGGGGCGCAGTTCCTCTCGCACGCCTTCCTGGCCCTCGAGAGAGACAAAAGGTGAGATATATGGTACGTTGAGATATTCAAGATGATAGTGTGCTGTTCGAGAGCGAGGCCATCGTGTCCAGGCTGCACCAGCAGCACAAGGACAAGGAGACGCCGTAGCTGCTCGCGTTTCTTTGGATCGGGGCGATCAATTGCTAAAAGTGCATCCCAAAAACTTGGTTTTCTGTTTCGGGCCAGGAGATATCTCACTTCCAGTAAGCTGCTTATGATCTATAAGGCACAGACCCGACCTGTCCTGGAATACTGTACCCATATTTGGAGTGCAGCAACCAAACATACCCTGAAACTGTTGGATTCTGTCCAAAATGGGCAATTCGTCTCTTGGGTGATGCCTCGCTAACAAACTCACTCACTTCTCTGGAACACCGTAGAAACGTTGGCGAACTGGCTCTATTTTATAGATATTTTCATGGACGATGCTCTCCTGAAATATCAACAATTGTTCCTCCCATGGCAGTCCCCGCGAGATTAACCCGTCGAGTTGAGGCTTCGTATCCCTTCGTGGTCACTTTGAAGACCTGCAAACACCTCTTTCCAAAGACTCGTTCATCCAACGAACAGCGAGGCTCTGGAACACATTGACCAGGAAGGTGTTTCCCGAGGCATATAACCTCCAGAAATTCAAGAACACCAATTCCTACCTTATTTCTTTTGGTTCTCACGATGTTCTCTGAACGTTACAGGATATTCCTTTTCGTGGGAACCAGAACATTAAAAAAAATACAGGGTGGGGCCATATAGTGCATCGGAGCACGATTGCTCGAGTTCTATGAGAGCTGGAAACACGATTCAAAAACCGAATCTGAATGAGACGACAAGGTCCATGGGACTACCTAATTTACTGACCGAAATGAAAATTTTCTGATTTTAAGGAATTTTCGAAAAATGATGCTATCAAACAGCATAAACAACTACTACCACCTCAGTAGTAACTACTACCACCCTTACCATCCACATATTTCCAGTCCAGAGGGTAGTTTATTCTTGTGATTTTGTAAAAAACGCCTATAAAATAGGTAGAAACACATAACTTACTCATATGTCATGACAGTACCTTGATACTACCACCCGAGTAGTAGTTACTACCACTATCCATACCCACCCATGCACCCCCTGTGCAGAGGGTAGTTTATTCTTGTGAATTTTGGAAAAAACGCCTAAAATAGGTAGAAACACATAACTTACTCTTATGTCATGACAGTATCTTGATACTACCACCCGAGTAGTAGCTACTACCACTAACCATACCCACCCACTTTCAAAATTAACAAGAATAAACCACCCTCTGCACAGGGGGTGGGTGTGTATGGATGGTGGTAGTAGCTACTACTCGTGTGGTAGTATCAAGATACTATCATGACATATATGAGTAAGTTATGTGCTTCTACCTATTTTAGTCGTTTTTTCAAAATCTACAAGAATAAATCACCCTCTGCACAGGGGGTGGGTGGGTATGGATGGTGGTAGTAGCTACTACTCGTGTGGTAGTATCAAGATACTATCATGACATATGAGTGAGTTATGTGTTTCTACCTATTTTAGTCATGTTTTTCAAATTTCACAAGGATAAACCACCCTCTGCACAGGGGGTGGACGGGTATGGATAGTGGTAGTAGTTACTACCGAGGTGGTGGTAGTATATAGAAGTATATCTTGTTCAATAGCATAAAATCTGAAATAATGGTATTTTATACTGAAATTGTAAATTTCGTCAGCAAATTAGAATTTACCAAGGTCCATTACTAGAAATTATTGCCGCATATAAAGGGCGCACCGATGAAAATCTAGAGAGTTGGGGACACTTTTTTAAACGGAATACTATATATATTAGCACATTTTTCGAAGCATCCATCATTGACTTTATCTCGATCATATCAAAGTTATGAATGTTTTCATCGAAATAATGTAATCTGCAGATGCATAACGAAAAAATCACTGGCTTCGCATTTATGCAATTTAAGAGACGATCATCATTTGAGGGGCAGGTGCGTGATATTTCTGAAAAATTTTCATGCCCTCAAATCATTTAGGGTGGCTGTAGACCTTGAGAATCTGAATATTTCAGATTTATCTAGAGTTTCGAAGAAAGTTCGAATTTTGTTTTTGAAAATCAACCAATTCCAAATTGGGAATAAGGAGTTGCGAGTTGAAATTGCACTCGAAGGAAAATACATAAGGATGCACGAAAAAATTTAACGACCAACAAGCAAGCATTAAAACTGGTTGTGGCATCTGCGCAGTATCTATCAACGTCAACACTGCATGGCTTTGATCTCTGTTTTGGATTATTGTTAGAAAGTATATGTCTACACTCGTTGTAGATTTCATCAGACTGGCTTCTATGTTATCTTCTAAAAATTACAGAGCCCCAGAAGCCTTATCAATACTTGAGTTTTTTTTATTTTTCACATTCATAGAAATAATTCAGATTTCAAATTCCAGGAGCGCACACTGTGGAAAGACAAAATATTTTAGCCGCTCATTGACAGGAAAATTGTTATTATCCTTCAGATGTCACTACTAGGAATCATTTTTTATATCGAAGTAATGTTAAAATTGAATAATTTTCGTCTTTTCTCTTTATTTCTTGTTGTTTCAGGTTCACGCATATCACCAGGTTTTTGAATCTTGCCGACTTGGCGCCACATGTCTCTGGGACTGGATATACTTTCTTCGTACCCACTGATACGGGTTTTGAAGAACTTGGTTTGGATAAAATGCCAGACAACTATTTATCAACTGGAGAAGGATTACAAATATTGTTGAATCACTTTGTCAAGGGCCGTCTATATGACAGAGATCTGACAGATGGAAGTCGACTCACCACTTTGGGAAATAAAACAATCACTATCAAAAGGACTCAAGGTATGGCAAATCATAAAATCGAGGGAATTCACAACTGAATTTCGAAGGAAACAAATTAATTGTTTCTTTGAAACTTCCCATCATATGAGATATGTACTACCTAATATGCAAAGCTCTGCACTTTCCGAAAAATTCGAAAATTGCGTATTTGATAACCTGATAGATTGTACTGTGATGTGTTTCATATTCTATTGACGGCTATTCACAAACAGATACCCAATGGGCACACGTGCGTTTTTTAAAGTTTTTAAAACGTATCGAAAACTATATGTCCTGACGATCTGTTGAAATTATGCATTTATAAAACGTTTCTCCGAAATGTTAGTCAGACGTTCGACATAAACATTTCTGTAACGCGAATCTGTCAACATTTTCTGACCAAGAGTAGAAGAAAAACGTGTTGTCGTTAAACTATATTCTATATCATCCTTCATTCAAGAACGTGTGTTTACATGGATACAAAACTACTTTCCATCAATTCGGCAAAGTCCTCACGGTCAACTAACGTTTATTCAAAACGTTCATTGAACTTTGAAATGAACGTTACTTAAGCGTTTTTTTTTAAGTATTTGATGACGGTTGGTAGAAAAAAAAGCGTGTAATATATGTTTTCTAACAACGTTAGATAATTGCCATTACACAACGTGTATTCTTTCCGTTTACATCTCGCCGACGCTCACACCAAGAGTTTAGGTACAAATACGAGTAGTCGAACAAATTTGAATAGGGATACGTGAAGATAGGTACGTCACCAAGAGGGAAGTGGAACGGAAAGGAAATACATGGACACATATCAGGTTAGTGAGTTATAATAATAATAATTGCAATAATTATGAAAATGATAATAAATTCATTGTGGACACAAAAATAACGAAAAGTAATCTAAAACCGAAAATTCGACGACTCAAAATTGATCCGAAGTAAACGTTGAAAAATCTTATTTTATCAACTTGTTCGAATCGTCATTTTTAAACGTCAATTACACGTTGAATAAACCTTCATCATCGACAATTATAAAACGTCGAAACATTACGTTTATGTCACGTTGATACTCAAGTTGAAAAAACGTTCTCAAAATACGTTTATTTCTAGTAGGTGATTTGGTTGAAAGAAACGTTTTATCGTGCGACATTTTTTCGTTGAATCAACGTTTGAGAAATACCCCTTATAAACGTTCGGTTTCAAACCATTTAGCAACGTTTTTTCAACGTCACTGTGCTCATTGGGATAACATCTCAAAAGGTAGATATTGACTTAGAAATGTAGTTTTCTTAATCCCATACAATTATTTTGATTTAACGGTATTCAGATGACAATTGAAAAGTGCATATTAACAGAACATCCATCCGTTAAGATTGTTAAACTGTTCCATAACAACACGATGTTGAGATTTTTCTGCAAAATTACGAGGTCCGTGGTTTGTTCTTTCCTCGAAATCAAAATGTAATCTTTCAGTGGGATTACGAAAAGTCGCAAATAACGGATTCGGTTGTTCCAATCCTCGGCTGCGCATCGGATTACAATAGCCAACCTTTGTAATGACTATATATTTTGATTACAAAGATACGTATAATTTTTAGTAGTAAGTAAATGAGTTGTCGACAATTCATCATACATTAATCATTTGCTGTTACATTATTCTAAATGCAGTGAAAAGATTGGGACATGTCATGCAGACTGTACTTATTACCAGAGCACCAGTACCTACAACATATAATAAGCTCTTTTAGAATAAACCGAGGAAGAAATACTCCAGCTCAAAAACCGATAATAATAATAATATAAATAATCATATTTATATCGAAGACTGGAACCTTTGGCATGATAATAAACTACACTGTTTTACCACTAACCAAACCGATTTTTAAAAAATCGGTTTGGTTAGTGGTAAAACAGTGTATTGCATATTTGTAATGCCTATACGTGTGTAAGACATATAGTTATGATGATACCTATTCAACAAAATTGAAAATAACAATGAACAGTCAGATAATCGAGATCATTTTGTATTATAAGAGAAAATTATTTGTTCCAGACAAAGTGAACGTCAACCAAGCAACCATTGTGGAAAGCGAAGTTTTCGTCTACAACTTGGGAACGATGTTCTATATTGACAAAGTTTTATTCACATTATCCAACACCTTACTTCCTAATACAAGTACCAACATAAGTACTAGTACTAGTACTCAGAAGTCAGTAGAAACTACGCTGCCTGCCTTCACAACTCGATCCAATGTTGAGAAAGTACCAGAAGAGTTAGTGGGCGAATCTGGGACATTGCCTGATATTCTATTGACAGAAGAAACGACTACAGAAGATGACATTGCTACCATGACAGCAACCAATGGAAATAACACAATAAAATAATTAGTATATCTGGGTGTATATTATTTTTTATTTATTTTAAATAAATAGGATTTTTTTATAAAACTTCCCTTCAACTTCATGTAAGTGGGTAACTACGGACGGTACACACTGACGTATTTTATTTCTAGTTAGATAACCACACAGCGTAATTGATTTCAAATCAACTATCTAAACTTACAAAATTCAGGAAACAATAAATATATTGCATGCTGATGATTATTGTGTTGTCACACAAAAGGCATACACTATATCGATAGCATCAACTGAAAACTAAAATTTCCAACAGAATGATAAGAAATTTCTCAATGATACAATATTTCTGTCAAGAGTACCTACAGAGTCAAATATGCTAGATGATGTACATTTTATTATTCATGTTACCTTCGGTATGATGGTTACTTTTTTCGACTAGTGTATATTTTAGTGTATCAATCATAACCAGAACTGCCGACCTCATCCCGAGATAATATTGAAATAATGTTAATTGACACTGACATATCATTCATGTTTAATCAAGGAAAATAAGGGAGTATTAAGTGGTAGTGCACATTACTCGCTCAATGCTATAAACCTGTGTTAATGTTTGTAAGTAATCCAATTTAATTGTCTAAATTTTCTTATTGAACGTCTACTTTATTGAAAATTCACAGAGGTGCACAGGTGAAATTCAATAAGTAGTATCTAGATAACCATTATTCTAACTCCTCATGTCCTATATTCTTTGTATTGCTCGAATAATTAAACCAACCTGATGACAAAAAAATATTTCACGAATTTCGAAAAAATATGCTTTGAGAGGATCTCAAAACGTTTTCCTCATTGTGAAGTTGAAAAACTGAAGAATAACTTGCCCATAGCTCATGGCTATTAGGTAACGCAAATAGATTTTCAATGTCATCAGAATGGAAAAACACTTGTGATTGAAACAAAAAACGACGATAATTGCCAAAATCTATTGAGATGTATCAGATTCATTGGCTGAATGTAACAAAAATACAATTATAGCATTTGTTGAATTATGCACAATTAACAAAAAGCAATGAATGCACAAAACTTGGTTATTTGAGATAACATCATCATTGGGTCAAAAATTCAAAAGCTAGTAACAACTGTTGTGTTTAGATGACTTCACATCAACGTCACAATATCGGAATATTATAATAATTGTATTTAATTATTATTGATGAGTATTTTTATGAAGTTTTCAAAATCTATATATAAAGTCCTGGAAATAAACCAAAAGTCTCACTATTGATTTTTAGTCTCGTTTTTAGTTACTCTTCACATGTGCATTCTTTTTATTGACTCTCTGATGAGCAAGAGTGACGTTTCAATGTTTGAAAGGTAGAAGTCATTTTTCTAGTGATTTTCAGTCTCATCCAGTTCATTATCGATCAAAAGAGACTGCAGATACTGACTTTTGTGTGTGTTTTCAGGACTCAATATCAATCTTTGGCATCTCCAAGATCATACACATTTTCTTGATGGACGTTTGATACTAGCCAAGAAAGTATCTAGTTGTTGTTTTTCTGTTAGATATCCTTTTTATATGCCTACAAAATCATATCAGAAGATATGGGTAATTTTGCACTTATCATGTGATGGGTTTTTCTCCGATAATTTATTTTGTTACTTACGTATTTTCGTCTGAATAATACGAATTTGATCATGAAAATGTGAACAAACCATTTATTGAGATATTTCACAATGAAGTTACAAATTTCACCTTCTTTTCCGCCTGTCTTTTGGATCGCATTTAGAACAATTTGCCCATCTGTTTTCATCATTAGACAATTTATGTATCACAATGTACTTCAATGACACATTTTTTATACATAAAAGTCAACTAGAAATATGATTTTCTTGTGATTTATCAATATTTAGTGAAAAAAGGAGAATATAATTTAAAATAATGGCGTGTGTAACCTCATTCAAATGCAATATGTTGACATTTGACATCTTGTATTTGGTATGATTGTTTACTATACATGAAAAACTCGCAATAAAAACTATATTTCCTGTTGACTTTTCTATTTGAAAATGTGTCATTGAAGTACATCATAAGTATATAGTGTCCAATGACAAAATAAGAGGAGCAAGTAGCTGTAAATGCAACCAAGACAGGGGGGAAAAGAATTCGAAATTTCGTACTTGTTTTTGAAAAATCTGGATGAGTAGTAGTTTGTTCAAATTTTCATTATCCAATTCGTGTTTTTTAGACAAGAATACGTAGGAACAAAACAATTTTTCAATAAAACCCATCGCATGAGAAGTGCAAAATTACCGAAATCTGCATTCATATTTCATTTTCTCCCATATTTCAAGTATGTAGGTACACATCAGATATGCATAGATATATCAACATTCTTGGGAATATTCCTGGTTAGATTAATTTCTTCGCTTTTTTTTCGAGCTTCCGAACATTTTTATTCAATTTTCGAAAGTTCCACTAAAAACGATTGTCATGTTCAACTGCTTCCCATGAATATTTCCAAAAATATATCCAATCCAACAGTCAGAAAAGCTTCCCTGTTTCAAATATTTCTATGAGGTATTAAGTAGATACGGTTTTTTGCCATCTGCTCTAGATACCAACTTTATATTTGTTTTTATCAAAACTAATGACTCATGACATAACTACTGATGAATAATCAATAACACATTATCAGAAGATACTTTGCTAATGTACATATATGATTATACTGTAAATGAAGGTGAAGGTATAAAAAATCGTCTTGAAAATTGATATTTTTAGAAGATTAAAACAAATGACTGATGAATGTTCATGATTGAAGAACAATAAGCCACTCAAGAAATATTTTGTGAATTTATATTTATATAAAAATAATTATTAATTATCTTTTACTCTTCAAAAGCTCTAATATGAGTGTAAAAGTCTCATTAATATGGAATACATTTAATTTTATTCTGAATATATAATTGTATGTACAAGCTTGATCAAACTCCTTGTACAAAATAAATGTTAGGCATTATCATCTAAGGAATGTTTTATTTCATTTCATCAATTGAACTGTATTTCATTGAGTGTTTAGAATCGTTTTCTATTGTAAATAAATAAATTTTATGTGTTTACATCATGTTATTTCACCCAGTCCTTTCATATGAATTGATCTAATGATCGATTTTATGCTGTTACTCTCAAATTTGTTGAACATATCACATAGTACCAAGGGATCAAGTACAAATATAATGCAATACCAATTCGGACAAAACTACCTTCCTGGATGGATTCAATAACAATTAATTCATAGGAATAATGAAGGAACTGCAAATTACTAAACTTGTGAACTTAAACCTATTGAAGAAACCATATGAGTATGTAGTATGACCTTACTTCAAACCAAATTAGATATCATATAGTATTTCTTAACTAAAAGATATCAGCATTCTTAGAGGTCATCATGCAAAAAGAGCAACAGATAGCAATGGGGTGATTCTTGAGAAATCATTGAGGATTCTCAAAATAATATTATATACAGAGTGTTCCATTCGAAAAATCAAAGTTTCTACTACTTTTTATTTTCTAATAGAAGTGGCAACACTGCATTATCCAAAGTATCCTGCCGATTACTGTTCAGAAAATTGCATATCATTACCCTCCCTTCACTTTATATTTGGAATACTGTGACTGAAATTCATAAAAATTTTTCTTCCATGACTACACAATCAGATATACATAATTATATTACCAGAGGATTGTTAAGTATGTGTCCCCAAATATAGGCACACCAAATCTCAAAAAAAACTCTTTTCAACATTCTCCTGGTAGAAGTCAGTGAATACATTTTATTTCAAAAAAACAATGAGAGTATTTCTGCTGGAAAATTCCTTATATTCCATTGAAGCATATGTGGAATGTGTGAATCACAGAAAATTAACTTCATTGATTCCTGATTTGTACCAATTTCATTTTTATTGTCCTTTTGATTACTTGATAAATGTATGATTTTTTTATATACACTCAAATTGATTACTGTGATTTTTGCCATTTTATATATACACTTTTTTGTAATTGTGACTTGTAGTAAATGTATTGTCGAGTGTATTGTATACCTATCATGACCAATAAATCTATATATCTATTTCAGTTGGGTAGAGGATGTAGCATATGCTCTCCATCAAATATTTAGAGTGATACACCAGCTAGTATAAGTAACATTAGCTTGAAGATAAGTATTACCTGGAATCTTACAACATCCAAACTTTGGAAGGAACATTCAACTGTGTGTCAAATAATGGTTTTTAACTGTGTTTTTAATCAATAAATTATTATCAGTTATCAAATACTCACAAGCTTGAACTATAACAGAACAGTATCTAGATAACAAAATCACTGTGAAGATCATTGGCCTACTCTGGAAGAACTATATTCATTTAATGGATTTTTGTGATCCTGGGGCAATGCCCTTGCCTCATAGGTGCAAATAGTCACACCATGATGATGCCCTTCACTGAATTCACCCTTAAGACCTATGTAATAAATCTTTGTTGACTCACCACCAAAATTACTTGGGAAATGCAGAGTCAGATGATACACATTACTGAAGGTTACAACCCTAAAAATTATATAAAATTGTAGTCACTTGTTTCACAAGAAATGAGTAGCTAATTATTACTTAGTTGAATATTCTACAGCTCCAGTTTTATCTTTGGCTAAGTCAAATTCTTGATCTGCTGCTGCAGATACATCATCAAATGTCATTGAAGGCCTGTTTTTGAAACTGAAATCATCAAAGATACATATGAGGAAAAGAGGAATGCAAGCATTTTATTTAGTTTCCTACAGCCTTAGCTTAGATGGATGGGTCTCAGCATCTTCACCAATGACTTTGATACCTTTTAATTTTACATTTCCAGTAAAAGGTATGTTGAATAATAATTCTTCATCAGCATCAGATTCTACGAACTAGAGAAAGGGCATTAGAAAATGATGAATCATCCCATATGAACAAGCATATTTTTAAACACATCACATCCTTCATATATGTGCTTCCATGAAGCTGAATGGATATCAAAATGAGAGTTTGAAGAGGTGAGTGGTGTTTGTTTCAAACATTGAATCATTAGTGCTGCAGAAAATCAAAAGTTAAACATAAATGTCCTCTTACAATATCAAAATTCAGACGATCTTCCCATGCTTTGAAAATTGTTTTTCCTGAACCCTCAATGGTTTCATTCAAGCATTCTAGATGTTCCTTATCAATCTTGTTATACAAGCTATATTCAATTCCTATTTCAGCAGAATCTTCATCATGATTATGAACACTCTCATGATTTTTATCACCACAACACCCATGTGAAGCCATGTTTTTATGAATATTTCAACAATTTTCAAATTCAATTCAGTATGAATTTGAAAAAATAACATTAGGAAATGACAATGACAATTGACATCGGAAATTTGAAGGTCCTCTTCTTCTTCTTTCATTTATTAAGGCTTATTAGTCAATAGTAGGGTCCCTTGATGGAAATTGACGTTAAAGTCATCTTAACAGGGTACGGGTACGGACAGATCCTCGTCTCCTCTCACTCTAAAGTAGTTGTGAAACAGTTATATAGTTCCATCCTTATTCAATTCTGGGGATAATCACTAGATTTTTGACATTCGTTGTTTTTTAGGTTATATTGAGGTCACTGGCGTATCATACGTAATTTCCATATGGAATTTCTGATTCAACTATACCAAGATATAAATGAACAATCCTCTAGTTTCAGAGTTTACTACTCCAGAATAATGTTTGCGATTCAGGAAACATATAAATTGTACTGAAAGCTTAATATATTTCACCAAAAGAGACTATTCTTAGACTGTATACCAGGGTTGACTGAATTGACTGAATGAATTCTGATTTCAAGCTGAGTAGTAGTTTGTCAATGAGCTGAATGAGCTGAGCCTTATGATTGAGAAATGGTGGAAACCGCGATGTGGGTATCTAGACTACTGAACTCATGTCATGTGTGTGTGAAATCCAACTCGGAGAAGAATTTATGGAGTTACTAATATCACACTATGTTTAAAACTTCGTCTAGGACCAAAAGTAGGCTGATAAAAATCAATACGTAAAATGCGCAGGAAAGTAAAGAATAGAATATACTTCACCCCCATGTTATACATATGCATTTTCGAATAATTTATTGATGAAAGTGACAAAGAAGTAGGTATACGCTAAGTATACGCAGTATAACTTATAGGCACGTTATTTTCACTCTTGCATACTTCATATTTTCTGATTGTGGAAGAGTAATAATTATATAAACTAATGTCTTTCGCCATATTGGATCCGTCATCTTGAATTTTCCATGTTTGACGAAACAATCATCATCTCCTACCCCGAAAACTCCCAGATACCAATTTCGAATAGACTCAGATCTTCATTACAAAACTCGTCCACCATATATTGGATCCGTCATCTTGAATATCCCAATTCTGACGAAATAATTATATTCTCCGACCCCGGAAATCCCCAGATACCAATTTTGATTTTTTGAATAGAATCGGATCATAATTACAAGTTTCGTTCGCCATATTGGATCCGCTATCTTGAATTTTCCAATTTTGACAAAAAATCATGAGGTTCGACCCCGAGAACCCTCAGATACGAATCTTAAATATAGAATCAAATCATAATTAGTTTTATTTTGCTATAATTATATTGGATCCGTCATCTTGAATTTTCCAAGTTTGACGAAACAATCATCATCTCCAACCCCGGAAAACCCCACATACCTTTCAATTTTGAATAGAATCGGATCATAATTAACTTGTTCGCCATATGATCTTCCTCAAAAAGTAAATACCCTGTACATACCTATCACTAAAATTTTGAATGATTTTCTGTAGCGCCCATGGATGAGACGTGACAGCATTGTCAGGGATGCCAGTAGACAAAACTAAAATCTCTAGATCATTAAAAAAGAATGCAGCTATGATCTGTCCGTACCCTGTTGAGATGACTTTTATGTCAATTTCCATCAAGGGACCCTAGTCAATAGAACTTTTTACTATTTTCTAGTTCTGATTTTGAAAACAAAACTGTCGGAACTTTCAATTATTTTCGGCATTTGTATCATAACCAGTGCTGCCGTTGTGTGAGTAATCACCCCATTTGTGAGCATTTTCAAAGATATCGAGTAAAAGTGGAGCATTGGGAGATTTGTGGAGATTCTGCTGAGATTTCCTAATATTCTGCGAGTATTGCAAGCGAATCGATCCTTCACGATACTGATTTCTCTTCCAATCTTCAATCTACGTTTCATCAAGGTTGGTAAAACTGATGATCTTCACTCACAGCTCTACGAACCTTGAATTCAGTAATCATCATATGACCGAATCTACCAACCCTAAAATATGTATTATTCTTTCAAAGTTGGTAGATTAGTGAATCATTTGAATTCATCAGTTCACTAATCTTGATCATGACTCTTCTTCTAAATTGTGTTAAATGCCGTAAAATAGGTTAGTATATATGGACCTTAAGGTGTGAGTTATTATTAACAAGCCTCTTTAACGATCCATATTATAATTATTTATGCACAACCGGGCGTAAAGTGGCACTTTATCGCCCAGATTCGCAGGCGTGAATTTGCACTCAATCGCCCGGATTTGCGGGCGTAAAGTAGCACTTCAGCGCCTTAGGGTGGTAAAGCAGGTGATCCGGGAGGTGCAGTAATTTCACCACTGTTATAGCAGTATTCCCTAGTAGACTAACAATTCGATATTTCTCCGCAAGTGGCATGCATGAAGTAGTGCCAAATTAATTGAAAATCATTATTTGAATTTGAATTGACAGTAAATAAATGTCTAAAACGGTGCAGGAAATGTCGTATGTATTTCGGGCATAAAACCAATTATATAAGTTACGCCCGAAATACCTACAACATTCAATCAATGCACGACTAGTGTACCCATATATTTGTTTATTCATCGTGACTTCACGCTGAGCGCTGCTTTTGGCATATTATTGAATATCATTATTTTGTTCTTCCATATATTGTTATTTCACAAAATATAAATATCTCTCGCAAGTAATTCAATTCGTTTCATCCTGCTGTGCGCTGCTAGTTTTGTATTCGCTGTAGCCATGCAAGGTCGATCATCATCTGACGTTGCGATGACCTTGGCTATCGCGAATACATTAATGACTATACCGTAGGGGGCGTAGGGTATAGTTCAGTGGAATACATAAGTATAGAACTAATATAAAACTAATAATGTAATAATATTCAAGCACATATTCGGAATCTGGTGTTGAATATGGGTCCTTGTAAGAATTTGAATTTGGTGAAGTTGGATCGAATAACCTCTATAGAAAATTTTCATTTCAATTTGATAATCTGCATGTAATTCAGATATATAAAAATGATACTGAAAATAAAACACAATATTCGAATTTTTTTCCATAGAAGCCTAGTTCCCCTTTCGATACATTATATATTCAGGTTGTGTACGTTCCATAGAATAATATGAGGAATTTTTTATTATTTCATTCTACTTCAACTTTCAACACCATTCTTTGAAATTTGTGTCCAGCACGGAACCTTTGGTGTATTCATTCTAGAAGGAAATGCGCCATTCGATCATCTAGGGAAAAAGCTTGAATAGTCGCATTTATTTTTTGTTCAGTAGCAACATTATAGTGTATATTCAATTGATTGTTTCCTTCTCTATGGAACTACTTAATCAAACACAAAAATATCGATTCCAATTTTCGGAAGATTTAATGACATTTTATTTTCGAATTTTTTTCATGTGTTGCGCAAGTGTTGCCAATAAAAGAATATTCAATTTGATATCCCGAATTATAGTCCCAATTTGAACCACATATTTTGCGTATATATTTATCATAGTAGATAAAGGGTTAAATGAAAGTTAAATGGTCTATGGTCCATTCACACCACAGAACCCATGAGAACCCATAACCGTCATATCTCACGAGTAAAATGCGTATACAACATGGCGGACGAACAAATCATGAGAAGTGCCTAAATCTTTCCAACCATTCCCATCACGTGATATATTAGGATTCGTGGTTTTTGATGATTATTTTTCGCAATAAAATTGCAATGAACTCAAGTTGTTCACATTGAGTTCATTGTCAAATTGTGGGGGCTGTATTTTATCAGGGAGTTTTATATCTGACAATGAGGTTTGGGAATGGTTCGAAAACTTTAGGCTCTCGTCAAATCATGGATCAGCTGCAACACTGTAAAAGTGAACCATAGTAGCGTCGATAAAATGGGTGGCGAAACGTATATGGGCGAAATATAAATAATAGACTCCAGTGGCGTATCACGAAGATGAGATGAAAGTATTATTAAATGAATTTTCGGAAAATCATAAGATGACTATTAGAATTCAAACAAGAAATTTGGATGATATAAGTAGATAGATATGCTGCTTATATTTTTCGCACTCTACAAGTCCGATCTTATATTTTATTTGTTTAGAAATTTGGTATGAAACCATAGGACCGCGTGTTCTATAGTCGTAAAAATATATAGGTATCATGAGTTCTGTGATTCACACCTCTCAAGAACATTGATGTACATATGAATTAATTACTATTATACAAGGTGTCCCAGAACAACGTACTATAAATTCTACATGGTGAACTATACATACCAAATTAGGCCGATTGTGGAATCAACTCACTTCTATACGAAAATGTACCATTGAGCCATCATGAGAGGGCGATGAAGAAACATTTTATTTGCAGATTTTCTTCAATATTTCGGAATCCTTGTAAGGTACTGCTCTGGAATACGATATATACATATATAATATATTGGGAACTTTATTCATTTTTCGATCCAAAAAAGTTATCACTTTTGTACAAAATTCAGGAAACAAATTTCATTGACATATCTTCAGTTTATCATAACTTTCTTCTTCACGATATAAATTTCAATTTTCATGATATATTTGGATAGATTGAAATGTGAGGAACAAATTTGTTTTCTATAAACTTTTCGCACGTTTCGAAAATAAACTTTGTAGAAGCTTTCATTGTCTTATACGTAAGAAAGCTATGGAAGCGTACGGAAGAACAAACAGTTAAGATTCGCATCATTAATTATGAGATATAACGATCGAGGGCTATCACGACGATACATGTCAAGCGTTAATGGTAGAATTTCTAAACACCCTGTAGAGACCTATAAATATACCACAAATGATTAGTGAAATATGAAAGAAAGAATGTGAAACTTCCGAAGTTCCATTATTTTGTAAAACAATAATTATTTTAGGTGCAAATAATTGTTTTCTCATAATTTCGCAACGTGCAGAGCATGACTGGTCGGAAAGGATCTTGATGCCTTTCACATAAGATTTTTCTCCATATCACCTACTTAAAAGGCTATCTTCTTAATATTCCAATAATATATAGAGAGTCCAGAGTTGTGAAAAATATTTTGTTCCATCCGCGGTATTGATCACACCCAGTATATGGATACATTTCCACATCATATTGGTCAATGACCTAATTAATTATTTCTCTCCGCACAGTGGATAACAATGCTTTTTTCCACCCCAACTTCCTAAAAGCACTATCGTTCCGTCTTATTTCCACCCTTTATTCCTCGATTTCCTCGTCAGAATTTCACCCCTAGTGTAGCGCCGATAATCATCTCAAGTTGCGTCACGAGCCGGCTCACCCTATACAGGGGCGCATTATGATCTTTCACGACTTCCACTACCAAAATATACTTCTACCAACTTTAGCTGCATGAATTTGTAAAAAAAACTTAGAGATCGAGCTAAACTATCGACTTATTTTTTATTATTTCATTCAATTATAGTCGTTCAATTATAGTTTATTCAACCTATAATAATATTACGTGAGCAAAATTTCATTGATACTAATTATATACTTCGAGTTTCTTGTGAGAAAATGTCGTACCAACTTTAGTTAAATGAATTTGTGAAAAATTGGGAAATTGAAATATTAGTTTGTGCAACTTAAGTAAGTTAATTGTGTTTTATTTAACCAACAATGGATATGAATCATATCAATATACCCACCAAACATGAAACCTCCCAGAATAATTTTTAGTAGCAAGAACGTTTGAACGAAACCTAAATGGAATGTTTCAAGAAAAATGCTCCCATGTAAAAAATCATGTTCTAATAATGCTGCTTCTACTGATGTTTTATGTTCTTTGTGTTGCTACAACTATTCTACATCATAATAAACAACTATCACTATAGAAAATCGCAAATTGAAAAACAGCTGCTGCTAACCAGCGAGCACAAACATCCCTGGGATGTTTTGGGATGTTTTGAAAATGTTGGCATGAAGATGTTATTTTGAGACGTAATATGCACTGACCAAAGAGGTCTTTGAAGGATATTGAAGTATTGTTTTTGTTCTTCTGTGGAATTTCTTTGTTTGCCTACTGAGAGGTATCCCTGGGATGTTTTGGGGTGTTTTAGAAATGTAGGCATGAGGATGTTTTTTTGAGGCGTAATATGCACTTCCCAAAGAGGTCTTAGAAGGATATTGAAAGTATTGTTTTTGTTCTTTTGTGCCCTTTCTTTGTTTGCCCCACCACAACGTCTCATGCTTACGCGTCACAATACGATGAATTCTGATTTGTTTTCGATTTTGTTCTTCTTGTTCGCAATTGGCATTCGCGTTTGCAGCGTGTCACGCTTACATCACGCTGCTAACGAACAGAAAAGAATTTGGTGAAGTTTATTGTGTTAGAAGATCTATTTAGTTTGTAATAATGACCATCAGATGCAAGATGTGTTGCTCGGTGCCTCAGTGTAATCAATATATATATAAAAGTACGAATTCATCAATACATCATATAGCTTCTCCGCAGTTGCAAAATTATGCATTGTGGAGAACATTTCAAAAATTGGGAAACCTGTTTTCAATTATATATGTCTGTGTGTAGTAAGCACACTATTCAGAAACCGATTAAGAAGGTAATTTCATATCAAGAAAATATTTATATGTTCAATCTATTTTTAATGCATTTTTTCATTCAAGGGAAATGGAATCCTAATGCAAAAGTTCATTTTGACAAAAGGCTTCAGGAAAGTACCTCCAAAATGTTTTTTTTACAGCGATTCAATGTGCGCAAGACGCGTTGAAAATGTACTGTTGTGTCCATGAAAAGGCTTTAAAAAGAACTAGGGAGAAGGTAGTTTTGTGACATATCAAGGACATCTCGATAATTGCCGCCTGCGGCGGACACATTGGCTGTAATAGTTCTATTCATGTGCATGTGAACAGAACATCGCATGTCTCGAAATCTCGTACTTTTAACATCTCTGAGATGTTTTTGTGCTCGTTGGGTCTATACATGCTGTCGATATAACAAAATATATTTCCACCAGTTTTAGTGGAATAAAGTTAGTTAAGAATAATTGTTTGAACTACCACCTGCTGCGTTATCAATGTTGCTTAATTAAAGTGGGTATTTTGTATTTCATATAGCGGTATCTTATCCTAGCATTTTGTTAATTTCGGTGTGAAATTTTTGTACCGAATAGGTACCAATCTATAGCTTCAAATAAAAAACGGAAATTCAATTCGTTCGTTATAATTGAAGCTCCCGTGGTATTATGACTATTATGAGTGAGAATTCATCAGAAGCAAACTCCCCCATTCGGCCCTGTGCCGTGCCGCCTCACATGCGCGTCGCGACGACGTCTAGGCGGCCGAGACATCAGCGCAAACCCCGAAACAGCCATTTGTTTTTGTTGATCGATGGCCGCAAAAAGTGCAATTTCTGCGACCGGGAATATGACCAGTGTGCAATCGACGAAAAGCATCGACAAAGATTTCATAATTCGCAAGTAAGTCTATAGATTAAGATCGAGATCAAGATACATAATCTGTGATATTACCTATATCCACTGTTTTTTGGCAATGATATATGGATGATGCGTTTTTTAGTTTCTATTCTTCATCGCCTTCGCTCCTTCGCAAAATAATCAATATGATTATTATGTAGCGCTTTACGCGTATAGTTACCTACGTCGTTTTACGTATTATACAGGGTGAGTCAATAGTGTGTTCTCCTTTTATATTAGCCAAACCGTCAGATATATAGAAAAAAATCGAATACAACAGTTATACAACAGTCTTGGGAACTATCGCACCTAAAATTATTTTCACATCTATAGGGCGTTCGAATTTCAAGATATCGGTTGATGATGGGTGTTTTCAAATGAGACACTCTGTATATTATTACATTTTTGGATTCTTCCTTGAGAGCTGATTTCATCAATGTATCGCACTTGGGGAACAAGTGCGAAAGATACAGCTATAGGGTTGTTTCCATTAGAAGTGAGTCACACTGTATATTCTCATACAAAAAAATATTATTTCTAACAGAAAACATCTATATTATGAGCAGAAGAACTGAGAATTCTACATCCCATGAAAACATGTATGACCGATGAAGAGGATCTTGAATTGAATTGAATTTTTTCAATAATATGATGTGATTCTCAATGATGTTGTTTCTTTGAGCAGAATCATATCAACTGACACAATTTTGATTGTAATATACTTTTTTATCAACAAAAAAATATTGAATGTCTCTCAGACCGACGTCACCGCTCATGTTTCGTGAAACCACGTCACCACTGGAGGGTTAATAATAAAATTTAGTTCGAAATTCGACTGCGTAAAGTTCTGCTTAAAAAAATATGAAAAAGGAATCACTCGGTCGGTCGGTCACGTGACTTTCGCTACATGCCAGAATAAGTTGATTTTTTTTAATGAATCACTGAAAGTGGGCTTATTTGTTTGAATTTCAAAAAAATTTATGGATAAAAGTTGTTTCTATTCCAATTTGACATAATATGTGTCGAATTTGAACGTTCTATAACAACTTGCAACTTTTTCAGTAATTGGAATATACAGTGTGACCCACTTCTAATGGAACCACCCCTGTATCTTACGTAATCGTTGGGTAAGGATCCTGAAATTTGCTGGAGCGAGAGATATACCAAAAATGCACTTTATGACCAAGTGGGGTCATCTTCAGTGTTATACACTGCTCGCCAACAGCCATGAAACCACCCCAATTTCCGGAAAATGATATTAGGAGTCAAGATAGGTTGAAAATCACGTCGGATTCGGAATCAGGACGCCCGGTTTATTAATTCGAGCCTATATGGATATAAGATAGATTGCATTCGAATTTCTTGAAAACGTTGCATAGCAGCAAACATTTTCTGCCTAGGCAGATAAAGTACACCTTTCATTCCTGTTGAGTGTCAGAGAAAAGCCATTTTTGCTGCCGCTAAAAAAATTGAATTTTCCACCTCGATTAACCTTATTCACACTATTATTATTAGTATCATTATTATTATCAAATCAAATCAAAAAGGAAATGTCTTCAGCACGAAATAATCTTGCAACTAATATAAAAACCAACCCAACCAAATTTTGGTCATATTTAAATATGTTACGAAATGAATCTCGCATTCCTCATTCTATGGAGTTCCAAGATCAAGATATATACGATCCTGAATTAATAATTAACGCATTTGTTAACTTCTTCCAATCAGCTTTCATCAACTCGACACCTTCGACACTATCAACCCCTTATATCTCGGAAGAACTTGCTCCTGTTTGACGCATTTGTGAGAACTAAACTTAAATACGCCTCCATTATTCGGTCTCCAGGCTATAATGTCCACTTGAATATTATCGAGAATGTACAGGGACATTTTCTCTAAGCAATATGTTTTAGAGTAGATGGGGAGTATCCTGCACGAGGTATTCCTCAGGAAACATTACTGGAACGTTTCGGTACTAACTCCCCACTAAACATAATAACATAACTCAAACATAAATGTAATATAACAATGTGACTTTGTGATGTTATTTAGAGATATGCTTGATATCACAATTACGTTGCGGCAATCGATCGACGTATGTGCCTCGTATAAATATTGCAATGTAATGTTGATGGTAAATATTATATAAATATATCAGGAATCACATAAAATCAATGTTACTTCATAACGTATATTTAATGTTACTCAAAACATCTGAACAATATTGTAAATTAACATTCTAAATAGTTTCTAGGAGCTTTTAGGTTATGTCTATTTTGTCTGGAATCATCAAGAAAATCATCTGAATGATCTTCAGAAAAGACATCAGAGAAGATGAACTATCCCTAAATATGAATTGATCTAACCGAACTCCTGAAAAACGATACGTATGATCTATAGTTACCCAGTGATATTTTGAGACAGATTTACTACTATTTTCCTAAGTATCATTTTAGTTATTCTGCCTCATAAATCTAGTCAGTGCAGCTATATGATTTCTGCATAATCCAGTGATCTCTTACTGAAATTCTAAAAAGTGATAGGTCAATATATTTCTATACGAGTTGTTGGAAGTTTCCTGAATTATTTTTAAATTATATTCTATGTTCTTCTTCTAGCGATGATATATAACTCACCCATTATTTTTGTAATTCGTGAAATATGAACACAATCCGTATTCACGAATCCCTCCTACTTTTTTACATATTATGAAATGCATATATAGATTGGTTGCATTTCTATATCCCAGCAGAGCAAACCTGGAATATAACTAATATAAGTAGGTAGTTATCATGAGCAATTCATTGTTGTTTCGAATTTGAGTCCAAGACTTGTTTAGTTCTTCACTTACTTCGATAACTATACGAATAATACCTAAAAATCAATATTTTCACTGATCACACTATTTGGCTTGTTCACCATAATAGACAACAAACAAAATGGCTGGAATGGAATCGAATTGACTTTTGACAGTTGACAAGGTTACTTTGCCGTGAAAGAACAAATATCATCTCCTTGTATCCTGTATGCATATGTATAAGCTACGTTATAAGGTGGTGAAACGAAAACGTTGCACAAATAACATACAAACTCTGTCTGAGATATATCTGACAAACCTAAAATCAATATATCACAATATTATCTAATGATATCGATGTCAATATTGATGCGATGTCTCATAAACGTTTTACTTCATAATATTGTGTTGGATACTTCAGAAGGACATTATCGCAATGTTATTCCAACAATATCACAAAACTTATAACTGAAAAATATTTTTGTTATGTATCATGTTTAGTGGGTCGTTGCAGGCACGTCATACATGTCACAGCATAATTTTTCGTTCCAAACTCCTCAATAGCAAACTAGATTGTTTTTTTTTGTACTATTTTAATCATTGTATTGTAATGATATTTCCCTTAGAGGCTCTGGAAATATCATCAGGAAGGCAAAAGTACAACGATCATCGTGTAACACGCATCTCAGATTGTTCTTCAACATCCCAATGATTCCTACATGTACTAGCCTATTTCCGAACACTCAATATATGTCGCGGTGACAAATAACGTGACAGAAGATTCTGGAATGTTCTGGAAACAATTGATGGAACAATTAGAGAGAGATGTTTTGTTCTAAGGAGCTTCTAGAACGGAAAGAAGGGCACGGAAGATCATTCGAGAACGTTCTCGAACCAAAGCCTACAAGGGATCTCATATATAAACGGCCGTATATAAACGACAGTTATATACCGCGCGTGATATAAATCGTTTTACATAAATAGTAGTTTAGTAATAATAGTGTTTCTTTAGTTCAAATAAATCAGTTCTAAAATAAATAGTGTCGTGTTCGCTTTTGCACCGGAATAACGTAACAGTATTGTAATTTGTGCTCACTGTATTTTTCCCACCCTGCTTAAGGCATCAGCTGTGAGGATGGCTTAAACCTAAATAAAATAGAAATAAAATGAAATGAATTTTCCCATAGCGTCGACGGCTTCCAGCAACCCTGGCCCCCCGCCCTGGATGCGCCCGCCCCGCCCTCATAGCAGCCAGCGCGGGCGGCCGAGGAAGACCCTCCAGCCGACACGCCGCCCCAGCCGCCCGACGCCAACCCGCTGCGCCACGGCTGCGACGACGCGTGGGCGTGGGACGGGCGGTCGAAGAGTCCGGACGCGCGGCTGGGCGGGCCGGGCTCGCGGGTGGCCCATTTCCACCCGAACTGGAGCAGTGGCACGGCGGGCGTGCGGGGCGACCGGGTGCTGAACAACGGGCGGTTCTTTTGGGAGCTGCATCTCTCCAGGAGGATATTCGGGACTAGCATGATGTTCGGGATAGGTGGGTACATTGGCGCCGCCAGAAAAATCAAGGGAGGGGCGTTTTTTTAATGAAAGTATTGGATTAAATTGAAATGAGTGTATCCTTTCTGACCAATATCCACTTCAATGGGCTTTTGAAATACATATTCCAAGAATGTAATAAACTAGAGGTGAGTAGAGGAAACAGATTTCGTAAGAGTAAGAAACTTTCCAAGGAAAATATACCTACTGTTAAAAATTGAAACTCTTAGATAAATCAAATGAAATTCAAATGAAGTCGAGACGTTTTATCTCTATGTTTGTACCATAAAATAATCAAAACGCAACAGGCTCCTCACCTAGCGAAAAGGATTAATTATGTGATGAAGTGATGTTCACAATGTCAACATTAGATCTAACAACTTGCTTACATGTCCAACTCATAGTACAAAGTTTTTCGAAAGAGGTTTCAGATTCAACATCTATAAGTTATATAACGCCGTGCCATCTCTCTATAAAGTATTTCAATTTGCCTAAATTCAAAAGCGAGCTATTATACGTCACATTTTAAAAAGCAACTAGTATTTCCTTGATTATGGTGTTCAGGTGCGTTACTTTCCAGTTCATATTCATATAGAATAGAATAGAATAGGGTTTAGTGGAAGAGCACTAAGTAGTTAAGTCCCCCTTGAGATTTCCGAACTGTTATAAGAATTATTGTTGTTAGACTGTAGGTTCTCATGGAAATAATGGCATAATCATATCAAAATTGTATATACCCCTGATAGCACAATTATGTCCCATGGACATCCTTAGTACGTCCCGTCGGGACATCCAGGACGTCCATGGGTCATAGGACTTTCGAATTTGGTACCGCGGACGTCCATTGGACGTCTGTGGGACGCATTGATAGGAGGACTTTCCACCCATATGCATCTCTGGTCGCTATAGCTACTAATTTTAAAAGTTCAATCGAAGCCATATTTTGGAATTATGCCATCTGTTGGCATTCCCATGATGGGGTGGCTTTCCAACTATTCATATAGCTTCTTGTAGTCTCTACCGTGCATATTGCTTATGGGTGCTTGACCTCTGAAAAGTCTGCTATCTACAAAAAGTTCTATTAAAAATTCTCGATTTATTTGGTCTATTTTATGTGAAACATGAAGTGATATTCAATTGTTCTTGATTCAAAAGACTTGAAAGTCTAACATAAAAAACAATTGAATAACGTCTTTGCCAATTAGCTCGTTGTCACGGTATAATAAAAAACATAATCTCTCAGAATCAGAAGTATACATTCAAATAGAGGCCAATCAGTTCATCCAGTTTGATTTGTATTCAATTCATATTGCAGATATCGAAATTTTCTTTCTCCTCATTCAATATATAGTATAACTCTCGAGCCGTATGCCAGAAGTTTTGAATCAATGTCATGAGCGAAATTAAAGCAGCAAGCTGGAGTATGTAAATCGACGAATATTTATAGAAAAAATAGCATCACAAGTCGAATTCGTATGAATATTTCATGATTGAGACAATAAACGAGAGCTTCGCGAGAGTTGCGCACACTGCATCCATCATTCTGGCTGCCACGTCGAAAATGTTAACGCTGAATAACGAGGTTGGTTGGTCACGTGTGGGTCAATTCGGCTTCTAGATTGGTAGAGCAAGTCTGATAAATTTTAGTAAACAAAATATATAGCTGGAATACAGCAGGAGAATCCGAGAAAATGGTCGATTCTGATTGGTTCCCTAGAACAAGAGTAGAATAGTCAAAATAAATTCTTGAAAAGGTTTTATGCTAGCATAGGGTCCCTTGATGCAAACTGACGTATTTGTCAGGACCCTATGCTAGCAGACCAAGTAGCTCCAAAACTCTCCCGCGCTTAACTCGCCCTCATTTTCCAGGAACGAAAAAAGCCCGTCTCCACGCCGACTCCTTCACGAACCTCCTGGGCAAAGACAACCACGGCTGGGGCCTCTCCCACAAAGGCCTCCTCTGGCACGGCGGCAAATGGACCCACTACACCAAGCCCTTCCGAGAAAACGTCCCCACAACCATCGGCCTGCTTTTCGACGGGATCGCGGGCACCGTGTCCTACTACAAGGACGAAAGGTGTGTAAACCCCCGATTTTCTCTGGTCAGGATTACTTACGGTTCAGTCGGGTTCCGATTTCAGAACTGTTCGAGAATCGTTCTCGAACTGTGTAGAACTAGTGCGCAGTCGTTTCGAATCCTAGGACTGTTTCAGAACGGTTCACAAATTCTGAAAACCCGAACGCTGCAGACGAGAACATCTGAGAACATAACCTCTATTCTGAATTTGCGAAAAAAACAATAGTTAGGAACCAGTATGTTTATTCGAATGATATTCTGAAGCTTCAAACTCTCCTTTGAGTCTATTCACAATATCTCTGGAAACCGCCTCTGTGGAGGAATGGTGATTATATTCCATCATAGCATTCGTAGCTAGATTTTCAATAGGCTCCGAAACTACAGGACCGATTTGAAAAATCCTTTTACCACGAGATGCCGACATTATCCCTACGGAACACCGGGTACTTTTCACCGCGAGAAAATGCTTCATTCCTACGGGAAACATAGGACAACGGGTAGTACGAATTATCCTTCCGTACTTATCTCTTATCTTTTTCACATAACTTCTAAACGGCTGAACCGATAGGGTTGAAATTTCATATGGATAGTTTGATGGTTTCCTGGATGATTTGAAAATACAATTGGACACGGTAGGTGTCGCTACTGTCGGTACGTCAACTACTACTATCGGCTTGACCGATTGAGTTGAAATTTTTAATACGTAAAACAACAAAAGACACTGAGAGAATGAAAATAGGTGCATGTATACAATTCTAGCTATAGATGAGCAAAAACAAGAACAAAATATATACTGTAGATTCATGCACGAAGCGTGCGAATTAGGGCCGGACAGTTATATTATAGTTCTTATAATTAATGACCGGACCACCAAGCAAGGCCGATAATTTGACAATGAATATAGTGCGATTCATCATTTCCATAAATGTCACTAAATTTCGTGAATAATGTTTTGCCGATTTTTTTTATGATGGTTGATATATTATTGACGACGGTCGAGAAAATCTCAAATTTATGGCTATTGATTCATATTTCATATATCAATATCCTCATTGTTTTCGAAGCAGGAAATTCACATTATTATTAAATGTATAACTATCTTTCTGATTGGCTTTCGGCTAAAATTCTCCAATAATCCCTTCTCCTCAACTTCCCCCTTTTCACTTGAGATAACTTTAGGAATTTTATTCACTGTCAAAAGGTGCTCAGATCAACTAGAGTGAACGTTCGTCAAGGTGGTTGATTTATAAAAAAAAATTCTATCAACAATACCAATTTGTTCTTATATACATATTACCTGAAATCAAACAAAAATAACTGGGCAGAATTTTGGGTCATCACTATAACGATTTATACCTCGCAGGCGCTTTTGACATTGGTTCACACTGAAACGAAATATTTGCTGTACTACCCAACAAACAAACAATGAACTACCGGGGATAGTTATTGGCCCAATGCTTTCTTTGATGGGGAAATGATTTCAACGGCAAAAATCTGTTGGCCTTTCACATTCTTGTAGTCACTTTGCCAGTGGAGCAAATAGGTGTTGGGTGTTGGGCCTTTATCGTTTCATTGACAACTCTGTTTACTCATTCTTCAAAAAGGCCAATGCTGGGCATTCAACCATGCCTATATGTTCCAGATAAACATTAAATATGCTCAAGAGTTAAGAACCTCTATTTTCTACAATACCTATCGAACACCATTATCGAATAAACTTCACTAGGATTAAAAACTACATTCAAATATCTGATAACAAATATCTGGTTTTATTATTTTTTATAAATTCTTTGAGATTTGTTGACATATTCTCCTCGATTATTTTCTGTAAAATTAATGATAAGACGTTTTTTATATGAATCGAGCAGAAATTATTGTAAAAAAATAATAAAACATGATTTTAATCGTAGTTATAGATGTTATCAATCAACTTTTCTACATGATAATTCTCGATATTGTCGAAAATAAAGGTACTTTACTCTTGAGCAAAATGAATTTTATTCGACCATATTAAATATTCTCTTATCCTTTTCGATCCGTTTTCATCTCACCGATAGTGACTTCATAAGTTAAAATACTAATACGAGTAGCTATAGTTATGTTCTCATAGAGATTAACGTTCCAACGATAAAGGCGTTGCAAAAGTACGACAGAATGGATAGGACACATGGAGAATGGACTATCAGCCCTACCAAGTCACGACAATGTGTGAGGTTTACCTTCAAAATGAAGATCTTATCACAATCATATTATCCATATTATTATTATTTTTATATTTTGATCGTTCCTATGCCAGTATGGGGATTTGAAAGCCCATCAATGGAATGAATGCCGGCTGATTATTCGTCGGGAAACCGTCCCCCGGAGTATCGTTTTCTTGATGGCCCCGTACCAACGCTAGGTATTTTGCCGCAACATCTAGTTATGGGAGCAATGCATTGGGCCTTCATTTTACCGCAAATGAATGTTTGTTGGGTATATTCAACAGAATATCCACTTCCTAATTCGACCATCTGAGGCGATCCATCTTACAGTGGAGTGAAGGCAATAGGACAGGACGAAATTCATACAGTCTACTCCACCAAAACTATACTTTATTGTGAGCAAACTTACGGGGACATGTTTCGAAGCTTTGATGATGATGAAGCTTTAAAGCTTCGAAACATGTCCCCGTGAGTTTGCTCACGTCCTGTCCTATTCCTAATTCGAGTTCACGTAATAATTTTGGTGAACATTTCCGTTCATTACAGGTGCCTCGGCATAGCGTTCAGAGGCCTCAACGAGGTCAAGGAGCCTCTGTACCCCATCGTTTGCTCTACGGCGGCTAAGACCGAGATGGTGTTGGACTCGATGAAGAGAGACTTCGTCAATCTGCAAGACAGGTGCAGGGCGGTCATAGTCAAGCGGATCCAGAGCAGGAAGGACTTGGAGAAGTTGTTCTTGCCGCCTAAGATAAGGCAGTACTTGGATGAAGCAGTCTTGGATAGCGTTGTGCCGTTTAAGCCGGTTAACCAGAATAATATGTGGGTGGTGATTTGAAGGAAATGAGGGTTTTTTGGGTTCCACCGTTGATTATGGGTCGCTTGCAATCAATTCGTCGTGGTTGATGCGAGTTGAAATGGGAGTATGCGTTATAATAATTTGAGTTAAGGCTTATTTTACCCACACCTTCAAGTGGCTTTTGAATATTCATGAAGGCAAGAATATGATAGGAAACAGCAGAGGGTATATAAACAAACTCTCCTTCTTTGTAAATAAAAGGTGTGAGTGATAAAAATACATACGCCACCATTCGGGTTTGAAATACCGTCTTTGGAATGTTGCTCTAAAATGAAAACCTATACATGAATAAGTCAAGAAAAAATGATATTAACACGTTTCCTGATAAGGCAATCCAACGTAGGTCAGGTTTATAGAATTATGATATGGGGCCTGGTTGGTACCATATATGAAATTTATAGAATAATACGACCATAGCAGTTGAATTACTTTCTATATGCTTATTGGAGTTGTTCTTCTGATACAAACGGAAATTCTGGTTTATAAAAATATATTAGCCCTAAATAGTTTAATTGTGTGCAAACCAAACATAGTTTGACAGGTCGTTGGGTTGTTTCATAGACTTTTGATAAGAGCAGGGCATTTCCTATACAAAATTGAATTCTGTCATCTCATTGAATTCAAAATATTCCTTTCCCACCAAACATTAACATCTTTCCTAACTGCATTACAGGAACTCGAATAAAAAAATGCAATGTTGAAGCTTGTTTTTGATGAATTTCAATATTAAAAACAATTGGTTGGATGCGGTTTCTTTATGTTTGAAGGATATATTGTTTCTTTTCAGAATGGTTGATTTTTGGAACACATTAATAGATCCGTGATGACCCTATCACCTTATGTCGGCCTACACGACTCAATGATAATGATGATAATGTTCAGGGAGCTGAAAAATAATGCAGAAAAAGTACAAATTAGATACAGGATCAATTCACACTGCATTCTGAGAAAAGTGATTCATCTTTCAAACTGAAAAAACCTCATCAGATTCAGTGGTGATTTCACAAAGCTATTGGAAATTGAAACTCACTCATGATTAAAAGTATGGAGTGATTCAATTCGCAATCTAAACTGATCGAAAAAAGAAAAGGATATTTTGATTTTGCAATATAGGGATCAGTTTATTTAGCCTGTAATTAGGTTTTTTTGACCGCACCTAGTAGGTATACACAGACACAGACAGTTGTACATTATAGCAAAAAAACCAGTGGTGATGATGTTACCTTCAACAATAACTAAAATATAGTATAATTTATTACGATGATGGTTGATCCTAGGTAAATGCCGCCAACTTGAGCAGCATTTGGTCCGATGGATAACAACTGAAATACTTCTTTTAAAAACTTGAGAGAAATGCACGAAACATTAAAGATCTATTTATATGATTCGCCAGAGGTAGTGAAATCCCTATGGATATCAATAATGCATGAAAAGTAGGTAGTATTGAATTTATGAAAGATTCAATGATAGGTACTGATTGAGCTGAACCAAAATACTGAAACTTGATCAATATAACTATTCAACCAGATTATACATCATACACAGGGTGACCACAAGGCCACTCAAACATCTGCTGTTTTTGTAGACAAAAATTGTGTAATACATGAAATTTTCGATTGCGGTTACACCAAAAGTGAATTCTCGTTTTTCGTTTTGTTTCATTTTCCAAATTGATGCAAGCTAATGTTCTGCCAGATTTCTCAGAAGGAGCAGAAAATTTGAATTATTTCAACATTGATTGAAAATTCATGTGGAAACGTGAAGATACGGTCAAGAGTTCAACTCGCAAGTTAGCCATGAAAATCATACTAACCATTTTGACTTTCTATACATACAGGGTGGCCCTCTGAAAACGAAACAGAGGCTCTGTAGGTCGCCAAAACCGGAGTATGAAAAAAATCTGAAAAACGTCAACCACATTTTCGAATGGGACATCGTTCTAAATTATTTTCAGCTATGCGGTGTTGCCGCTTCTGACGAAAAGTAGCAACAACTTTGTTATTTCAAATAATGGAACACTTTGTATTTTATTGCATTTTTAGATTCTCCCCGAAGAGCTGATTTCATCAATGCATCACACTTGGGGTCTAGCTGTGAAGGTTTCAGGGATATAGGTGTTCAAAATCGAGATTTTTCAACTTTAGCATTTTCTTGTGTCGAAACTATTCATTATTGGTCAAAACGGCCTTCATGTCCCTATCTCAACTTGTGATTTACTATCTACTGACATTTATTTGAAACAAATACAGGGTGGTTCAAGATTCAGTATTCTGATCACCCTGTATCTGTTCCAATTGCTCAAGTTGAAAAATCTCGATTTTGAACACTTTATATCCCTGAAACCTTGATTACAGCTAGACCCCAAGTGTGATGCATTGATGAAATCAGCTCTTCAGGGAGAATCTAAAAATGCAATGAAATACAAGGTGTTCCATTTGAAATAACAAAGTTGTTGCTTCTTTTCGTTAAAAGTGGCAACGCCGCAGAGCTGAAAATATTTTTGGACGATGTCCCCCTCGAAAATGTAGTTGACGTGTTTCAGATTTTTTTCATAAGAAGGTTTTGGCGACCTACAGATCCTCTGTTTCGTTTTCAAAGGCCCACTCTGTATATATCTAACCATATCTATTGACAACGGTTCTGACTATATAGTCTCTGACAGTTGTCAAACGAAGCTTTGCGGTACCTACCATTAGATTCATAGCTAAATATATGTTCATCATATTTATTTTAAATTTGAGATTCTTCGATTTTCGTGAAAAAATGTCTGAGAAGTAAAATTTAATTCTTGAATGGTTAAACAATTGACCGTATATCCGCATTTGAAGTCATATCGATAAAAAAGTACGTTGAATTTACATTTCAGTTCAAAAATGTTGTGATACATACATATATGAAAAAAAAAAGGAAGAATCACTTCCGGTAACACTGGAAGCGATAAACAACTAGTTTCACACGGTGGTCCAGATAATAGCCTCCCGACATTTCTGCGGCTGATAGTTTATAAAATCTATAAATTCGTTTCAGGAAATGTAGGATATACCTATAAGTTACGAAAAGTAATGTCATAATCAGTTTGATATAAATTTCGATTGATTTAAAATTGAATCGTCTGTAAGAGGAATGTCAAATTGATAGATTAATAATTATGTAATAGTTATTTATGTATAAGGGCTTAAAGTTGGCTTCTATATGGATCGCTTCACTCGGGCGCCTGGGTCCATAAAAGCAAGATACGCCCGAAATACAGGATTTTATGCACGACCGGTTTAAAAATTTATTTACTGACAATATGGAATTTATTGATGATTTTGAATTCACTTGAAAAATTGTGTTTTCCACTAGCGAAGGAAGATCGAATGGTATATAGTCTACTAGAAAAGTTACTGGAAAAACAGTGAGATTACTTTACCTTCCGACGGACTACTTTACTGCCCTAGGGCGCTAAAGTGATACTTTGAGCCCGCGAATCCGGCAATAAAGTGCCACTTTACGCCCGGTCGTGCATAAAAATAATTATCTCATACAAAATTCAATAAGGATTGTTGAAAAACAAAAACTAAAAGTGACGAACCATAAAACACTGACAACTATCCAGTGAAAATACACTTCAGGCGAAAGGGTGGGTAGGTTGGAGTGATATAGTAGACGATTTTTAACAGGTGTCTAGATCCTTTTCCTGAGTTAGAAATATGAATTTGATATTTTAGAGCTCGACAGGGATATTGGGAAAACACTGGTATTTATTGAATTCCTCGAAAGAACTATATATACCTTCCTTATTACTTTCGAAAATAACTTTATAGAAACTATTTATATCGGAAAACATTCTGGACCATCGTGCATAAAAATGCACTATTGCGCGAGGATCTCTATCATGGTCTTATATCAGTATAAGTATAGATCTTGTTCAATCAAAAAATAAGTTTGTTTTTCCTGAACTATCCATCATTATACAAATAAGATACATTTGATCTCTCCAAAAAAGAAGACACTGCGCCCTCACATTATCTATCATTGTTGTTCAATTTTTGAACAATTTGTGGAAGTGACTAAGAATTTCACTGTTCACAAGATTATTCTACTGTGAGTTCATGGTTTCGTTGTAGTTCAATAATAAATTTAAATTGAATGATTGTGAAATATGTCAGGAGAAAATTTAATTGCTCTGAAGCTCTGTTACTGACACCGATCGAATCGCGTGATTTTTCAACTTGGATGAAATTGATATTCTGTATAGGTACATGAAATAATGGAGTTATTTAAACTTTATGTCTGCACATTAGTTGTGAATATCTTGTTCAACTATATCAAGTACAACCCAAAAAAACTGTACGCTGGGAAACAGTACGATTTCATCCATAGACGAGCAGTGGCGCCCCTAATCACTCAAGATATCGTAGACATTTTTTTTCGTGCGAACCAGAAAATGAAATAAAATTGATTTGCTTCATTCATTCTTAGTCTAAGGTATGTAGGTAAAGATAATTGTTGATACAAACTTGTTTTCCATTAAAGTCACGCTCAAGTTTTTGAAAAGTATCGACTTCATTCCAAATGTAAAATTATAATTTAATCAATGTTAGTTAAGCACTATTATTAGGTATAGGTATACTGGAATAAGAATGAAGAAATAATTGTTCCAACATCCAAATTGAACACTATTGAATAGTATTCATAAAAATTATGCTTTATAGTGTGAATATACCTCAAAAATAACTGTAAATATCTTTTAATAATTTATCAATGTCTAGTCAAATTGATTTATTTCATTGTGATAATATGTTTTCCTATTATTTATTAGTGTAACTATTTTTAGGCGATGAAAATGTGTTTGAAGTTTTGGCCAGTTCGTGCAATAAATTTTGTACATAAAAACTTGGGACAAAAAAAATTGATTCCACCATAACAGAAAATTGTTTCAAAAAAACTGAACAATTTTGAATGGGTATATCTGAAAATCATCATGGTAATTCCATATTGGGTCAGGTTAATATGAAATAGTATCTGGTGAAACCAGTTATGATATTGTGTGTATTTGGATATCTCTGTACTGATGTAACCAATAAAAAATATGGATTTATAATTATTGTTTTTTCTGGGATGCAGGAAGAAGCAAGCACTGAAAGTATCAAAATGGTGCTTTCTGGAGGAAACATCGTCCCCCAAAAAGATCCGCTAATATCAAATTACTTCTGAGTTTTACCGTTGATTGATATATTACGCTTACGCTAAAAGCAAGGCAAGGCAATTGTTTCAGCTATACTTATTTGGGCTATTTTCTAGATTTTCGAGTTTGTTCAAGTGTTATTTTTTTTTTTGCTCCAAATGACATGAAAAGTGGCTTTTCTATGACACTTAAATGCACAGAAAGTGTATTTTTACTGTCTATCCAGAAAAAGTTTATTGCTATGCATTGTTCCAAGTTATTTGAATAAAATTGGTGATCAAACTTGGCAATGACACCAGGTGATCGGGTGAACACAAAATGATAGTTTTCAATAAAAAAAATTACACAAAATTGGTTTTATAACATTTGGAAAAAATTAAGTTTTACATGGCAGAAAAGAAGATTCAATGCCTTGACTGGATTCCTAGCCTCATCTATGAAACACCAGACGCGGCATTAAATCGTGTCATTTTCTGCCAAGTAAAACAAATAACAATTTTCACCAAATGACATTAGAAGTGGCTTTTTGATAACACTTAACAATCATAGAATGTGTATTTTCGCTGCCCAGACAGAAAATGTTTATTTGGAATTTTCCTGAAATTGGAGAACCAACTATATTTCACATGGTATAAAAGAAATGTGGATGCCTTGGCTGGTGTCCTAGCTTTTGCTTTATCTGTTTCACATTTCTTTGAATGGCTCTTATATTATAGTCATCTTCATCATAGGATTACTTTGTGGTTCATATATCTATTCCTAAATATTCATAGTTTTCAGTTCTGAGTTAATGGTAGTATCAAGTCACTGTGGGGTGATGGTAAATGAAAAGATATCACCAGGTGAGACTTCTTTGGAGCAGGTTTTAGATGTCATTTATTCAATTAGATGCTGTAAATAGTTATAGTGATTGAAAATGGTTGAATTGATTTTGTAAATGAAACCATCACAGTCAAATTAAACTTTTAATAAGTAAATGTTCTCAATAAATTGATATGAGGAAACACTTATGGGTTGGTGTTTGCTTCTTTGGCAGATTGCAATGCCTGGGTGATGTACAACTTGGCCAAAGACTGAGAACAGAACTGAGATATGGCCTGGCTGTGAGTGTTGACCTGCCCAGCTATAATCATGGGATTCAACCTTGGGGGAACAGGATGGGGCTTGAATACTTTGTTGATGTCTTCCTCTGGCAATGGAGGCTCATCTTTGGCAGCACGAGCAGCATTTTCTTGAGTACGTTTCTGCAAGTACCTGTGTTTGTCTTGTTGCTGTCTGCTAACTAATTGTTGATACCTAAAAAATGTGTTCATTAGAGTCACTTCATGTTCTACTAAGCATCACTTCCAAAGGATGATTCAATGTAGAATACAAGAATACACACAGCAGTTTTCAATAAAATAACAATATATTGAGTCTTACCTATTGAACTTAATAGCTTCCTGATTCAATTCATCAACTCTATCCATGAGACATCTTAGTTGACCTTCCAAAACTGATGCAGTACCCAAATCCAAGAACTTTGAACCTTCTTCTTCTGGAACCATCTCTGCTAGCTCAGACATCATGATATTGCACAAAGGTGAGTTTTTAATTAGAAAAGGAACCTCAGTGAACAAATTCTCAAATCCCACTTTCAACTTCAATAGGGCCTCAGGGGTGAATTCACCCTCCTTGTACAATTCAATAGCCTGAGGAGTTAGACGATAAGCTTTGAGAGTCAAGAATCCTCTAGAAGATTTCTGAGTATCATAAATGACCACCACCGATTCCTCAATGGATGTTTGATAATGGAACTGTGACTCAAGAAGAGGCTGACTCAAAAAATTTCCAACATCAGCACTCTGATACCAGCCAACATGAAAATGATCAACATTCACTCTTCTTAATCTTCGCATCATTGATAGCTGATATTCATCCTCATCCATTGTTTCATCAGTTTGTTTAGGAAATGGAAAACAATTAGTAATTTCCAACCTATTGTCCACTACCAAACCTAGAAGGGCTCCTTGAGCAATGTCCATATTTGTGGTTGATTCCTCATGGCAATGCTTCACAATTTTCATAACAGCCTGGTTTTTTCAATGAAAAATAAATTATCATAATATCATAAATGTGCCCAGTATTTGTTGGACATGATGAAACAGGTAGGTACTTACCAATCCATCAGCTTGTACATAATTGATAGTTGATTCGTTTTCAGGAACTGCACGTCTGGCAGCAGCAGATCGACCTGCCATTTTATAATCAGCAAGAAATAACTATTTTGAACAAAGAACCAAAGAGGAACCTACTATTCTTTGAAAGAACTATTGGAATTTACCTATTCAAGTGTTCTTCAATTTCACCCCTCCAGTCTACAACCTAATGTTAATGTTAACCTAATTTCTTCTTCTTCTTTTAATTATTTTATTATATTATAAATATTCATTTCTGTCCAGTGTTGCCAAGTAGGTAGTCCGGGTGTTAAGATGACTTTAACGTCAATTTCCATCAAGGGATCCTAAAATGAATAGGGAATTTTGTGGAAATCTTATCGTTTGTAACAGTAGTGACTGTTGTGCACGCATGGATCCATGCTCATTCAGAGCTTCTTTGCTTGTTGTGATCGGACTACATGGGGTCAGACCTGTCGCTGGAGGTAGTCACAGTGAAATCACTTGTGCTGAAATTCGGAATAAATTCTTCAGTAAGCAATTCAGGAACACTAAACAGGCTTTGAATTTTCGAGGAATATTCATTCCATTTCGGAACGATTTTGGCAGTACTGGTACACTGGCAGCAAAACATAACCATAACCTATGATTGAGATTATTCACGTTGAAATTATGGATGGAGTGATTAATCATATTATCTCAGGAGACATATTATCCGATAGTTATTCTCATTCATCAGAAACACCAAGCTCTAGTAAATTATTTAAAGTTTATGCAAAGTCAGTTAAACAGATCATCAAACGAATGTCGGGAAACGCTGCCGCGCTCTTTGAACTTTCAGAGGGACCGACGGCTTGCGGTGTTGTGTTTTTCCAACTGACTTTGCATTAACATTACCTCTGGAATGAGACGAATTGACCATGGTCCAATCTGCCGCTGACCGTAGCCCGAGTTTAACGGGGTATGTGAATGAAATATCCTTAAAGGAACTTCTTACCAATGTCGCCAATTTGAAACTATACCCCTGTGACGTTCCCTGAAATATATCCGGGCTCCCAGTTTTCAAAACTTCACTCATCCATCCGAACGCATTTTCTGATTCTCGTGAAATGATAGGAGACGAAATAAATATGATTCCATCTACATTCGAACAACTGTAGAAATTTGAAATTAGCATCCTACGTCCCAAGGATTTAGTGCTACTCAAACTCAGAAATATATGAAAAAAATAGCAGCTAACTGCTTCAACTTCCGACTATGTCTCCCACCCTTCAGCGGTGGATTACCATATTACCTGAACAAGAACTAATCTCGTGAAACTCTGAAACAGGAATTTGAGGGATATTTCATTCACATTACCCGTCGTAGTTAATGCTGATAATCCCATTTCATTGCGTTTAACCGAGACGTCATTTCCGTTTGGGTATACCCAATGAACTCATTCATTGGCTATACGTTCCCTACCTGCCTTTACCTACTCCATAGTTGGTAAAGATGATTGAAGTTGAACTTGAATATTCGTTTCCAATGATGAATGTGAAAAATGGAGGATATAATGAAAACATCCAAATTGAAAATGAACGGAGTGGATATCGGAGAATCGGAGTAAAGATACATGGGAAAACTCTGGTAGTGGGTGAAGTGAAAGAAATTGGATTCTAAAAATAGTTAATGTTGACGTCAACATGACGTAGTTTCCTCCCAACACCTTCACTGAAATACTCAAACCGGGTTCAACGGAGAATGTAAATGAAATATCCCTTTAGTTCCTGTGATGGAATGCTGCTTAGCTGTGAAATATTTGATATCAAAAGTGGAAGTAATAAACCATATTGTAGAAAAGTGTCAGTTTCAGAGTCTACTAGCACTTTATATTTTTGTTTTTGGATGTATGCCAAATTGATATCCATCATACAGGACGTGACGAAGAATTTCTGAAAATAACAAGTTTTCATTTTGAATCATGAATATTATCAGTAAACTTCTAGACTCTAACAGTGTTCCTTGCAATGACACGCGAAAACGTTGCCAGTAAATTTCAGTAAAAGAGTAAAATCGAAACAATAAAATATACTCAAGAATATCGGAACCTCATCGGAACAACTTCCAGAGTCGTTGAATTCGGAATCTTTACTGTGATTTTGTGCTTTCCGTGACAATGACATCTGACAGTTCTGATATTGACATTCATAAATTGTGATTGTGAAGTAAATAGAATAGACAAAAACGAATTTAAAGAATAAAGAAGTGAACTTGTAATTTGTATTGTTGGATTCATTTTATCAGTATTGAAATTGAGAAATATGCCAGGAATTAATTCTAATGTGAAGTATATTCTATGTGTTTTCATTTTCTGTAGTCTTTCAGTATCAACTGGCTCTAGTAATCTTGTTGAAGACGATGTGCCACTATCAAAACTCAGTCAAACGGCCGGAGCTCCGACTATGAAATTCCTATATTGGTAAGTAATGGTAATGTAATTAATCTATTTGTCCTGTAAAGCCACTCCTCTGATAAAATAATGATATATTTTTCAGTTATTCCTGTGGGTACAAAAAGATGTATGATCAATATGTGGATTTAATAAACCAAAAATATCCATACATTTTGGTAGATGGTGCAAACTATGATCCTCCCGGTATGAACATGTTCTTGGCAAGAGTATTGGTGAGTAGATTGAAAAATTTGTATTGGTACCTACCATATTTTTTACATGGTATGCACAATAATGTATCTCAACAATGATGTCCTTGTTGAATTATTGTATCTCTTGTGTACAATTGGCTTAGTTCATTGATGTCTAATAAGCATACGCTCATTGGCCTTTGTTATTAATACAGAATTTGATAATGATTCAGCATGAGAAGGTTTGAAACTCCCTTTAAAAGGTTGAATAAGAAGATATCTCAAAATACCAATATTATCTGTATGTAATATATTATGTTACTTTCAATGGAAATTGTATAACTATTAATTTCAGGGTGGATTGAAAATGCTCATTATTTTGTGTATACTGGGTGGTGTGAACATTTTTGAATACATCAATCAACCAAGACCATCATGGTGGGCATGGTGTACAGAAAACAAGCTCTATGCTTGCATGATGTTGTTTTTCCTGTGCAACATTGTTGAAGGGCAACTTATACAATCAGGGGCATTTGAAATAATTTTGAATGATGTTCCTGTTTGGTCCAAATTAGAAACTGGTCGAATCCCACAACCTGCTGAACTGTTCCAGATTATTGATAGTCATATGCAGTTTGATACCAAATTGGAGTTGAATAATTTTGCTAAATAATATTCCTAGGTAGATAGTTATTTGTATTGATGACATAAGAAATGTAAATTATACATCAGGGATTCTTTTTCAATAAAATATTATTAGTACATTATTGTTATAAATGTAAGTGAATAAGATATGGACCTGTCTAGAGCCTAAACTAAGCAACTTTATACTGAGATAAGTTTGCTTGTTAAATTGTTTTGGTATGATAGGTAGGTTTCTGCATTTATGTAAAGATCTCAGGGACACACCCTGGACGATGTAAATTAATATTCCTTTTCATGGACTTTTCCATAATATAGTTGAAAAATTCAGATTTTCAGTGCATGTTAGGAGGCAATTTTTGTTTCACATTATTCTGAGAATCACCTGGAAAATATTTGATTGAAATAAGTAGCAATGTTAAAGTCTATCACACCCTGTATATTAGCGAGATCACTGACAGTTGGGACACTAGGGATAATCACAAATATACATCTGAAAGGTAAGTGCTAAGTGCCCTGAATAGGAATATCAATGAAAACTTAAAAAGAAGAAGAAGGCCAAGAAACTGGAAATGATGAAATGAAAAAGAAGAAATTGACAAAATAACCTAAGAGAAACCATTCCTGGAAAATAAACTTCTGTTTGTTGGAAGATGAGACACTAGATTCTAGGATCAAATTTTCAAAAGTTATTAATTGTTCATTGAAGAATATGAATCTAGACGATTTCAAACCTGATTCTGTTGAGGATGAGACTATCAAGGCTGAGACCAGAACAGATTGTGATTGTAAGGAGAGTGTACCAAAGGAAGAAATCATAGAAATACAGTGTGTGATTGAAGATTCCACTGCCCATTCAAAATATCTGAATAATTATGAAGATATTCCTCAGAAATTGAAAGAATTTTCCAAACCAATATTAGATACAGTTGATGAGTCATATATTGAAAATTTCAGATTTTTCAATGCAAGGTATTATGAGAACCAGTACTTTGTTGATTTCACAAATAATGGCAAACAGAAATCTAAAGAAGACATCCTAGTTAGGGTGCACACAAATAAACTACTGCTAGTGAGTTTAGCTGCTGGAAATGATATAATGCAGAGTGAAAAGGACATAGTTGAAATAAGTTTTATAGTGAATAAAACTGATAGATCAAAGATAAAGATACAAGGAAAGAGAAAATTAGGAGCCAGGCAGCTTGAACCTCATACAATATTGTGCCAAGTGAGACTTGAGGGAGATTCAACTCTTCGTAATATCAGAGCAGGTGTTAGAGGCTATTTAGTGGAAATAAATGAGATGATCAAGAAGAAACCAAATTTATTAAGAACTGATCCAAAGGGTGATGGATTTTTGGCAATTGTCATGCCAAAGGGACCTCTGCATGATACAGAAAATAGTGTTAAGAACTTGAATTTGTTATCTGAAGATGAATACTTAAAATATCTCTCCAAAAGGTGATAAAACTTTTTCAATATCTTCCATATCAAGTACTTATTATTAATTTTTCAATACCACCAATAATTTTACTACTGAAACTCACAAAATATCCACAAGTATGAGTTATTTGTGGTTCAGATGTCCAAAGTATGATTATAGAAATACCATTTTAATAACTAAGTCTGCCAGACATATTCTTGTCAGGAGAAATAATAGAGGAAGGCAGTATTATGATAATAATACTCTCCAGTAAGAAGTGGTCAGTTGATTTTCTGAAGAGAGATTTCATTTTTTCATTCATGAAAAGGTTCACTGAGTGTCTCAGAAACTTCAGTCATCCCCTCCTTCCTCCCCCAAGGCTTGTCCTTGCCTACCGAGTTGCCTACTGTATCTCAGTTATTAGTCCTGTGATTCTTACCAAATTTGGAACAGTATGAATAACCATCAATTTATTTATCAGCACTATCAGCAGTAGTAGAAGTTGAAGATCAAGCAATTTAAAAAATTACCTAACATCCTGCTGGACAATGCACAAAAGCATTTAAAATGCTGCATGATGTGCATCTCTCAAATAGTTATTTACCTAGCAAGTGCAGAAAGTAGTACTTTTTTTTCTTGGATATATAGGAAACTTATTTGAAGAACGTTTAAATAACAATAACTAAAACATCAACCATGGTAAATATTGAAATTGAAAGTGCAATTTGTGTTTGTTGCATGCTCTAATATAGCAGATGCTGCAACATCTTGAAGAACGTCGTTTCTTATTTGAATTTGATTGGTTAGTGTTTGTATCAATTATTTCCAGGAGAGATTTTGAAAGTTTCCTGAGTTGTCCATTCTTAATTGGAATTGAAATGCTTATTTGTTGACTGCCACTACTGTCAGTTTATAGGGACTGTTGCTATGGGTACGTTCTGGTGCCAACAGTCATCACCACATGTCTCCTGGTATTTCCGTCGAAATCGCGCGGAAAAGTAAACATAATGCGGAAAAGTGAAATCGTACGGAAAAGTACAACTTTTAAAACAAAAAATTACGCAGAAAAGTTATTTTTCCGCACGCTCCAAGAAAAATTTTTTTTAGTTGAATGTTTGTCTGATTGGCTAATATACTATGGTTACTTATAGTCACAAATACATAGAAATAAATAGGTTCGAATTATATGGAAAACATGTTCTATGAAAATTTACAGAAATCTGGCAAGCTTTTTGTGAGGATAGGAATTTGGTTCATGCAGAATGATCCGACAACTTTTTTGTCAGACATGATGACATGAAGTCTCAAATAAAACAAGAAATATAATTTTTATATAGGAAATAAAAGTCTTATTGCTCATAATCAAACCAAAAAATCAGATTCGTTAATTTATTGAGAAACACAATAGGTTTTCTATCAAATATTTCTTTATTCAATTTAGTTTACATAAGTAGTAATAAAAACATTGGCTTGGCAGTGTTTATCATCTTCTAAACATAAAATTGGATCACACAATTTTCACAAAGCTCACATGTGACCAATATTTGGAATACTCATCAGCACCAATAATTCAACAGTAAAAGTTAATGATTAATTCCAAGCAATATTGCACATAAAGCATCTTGCTGTATCCTCAAAATTATTGCAATGTTATTCTCATATCTTCACGTGTAGGTGCGCCTACTAACAAAAAATGTCAGTAATTCACTATAACTATACATTTCCAAAAATATTACACTAATTTACTGTACACATAATTACATTCATTAAGTTAATCATTTTATGGCACTTGATAAGATCACTCGGTAGTGGGAGTTTTCCCCTGCGTTCTAGAGTAGTTGGTTGGTCTTCTTCTCCTGTAAATCCTCTGGCGTTGTCTCTCTTGGTTATTGAGGTTCCTGTAACTTGGCCCCGCAGGAGGCAGGAAAGGCGGTGGAGGAGCACCCGAAGGCCTGTAGTAAGGCGCATTACTTCCCGCAGGTCTCTGTCTGTACGGAGGCCTGTAGACTGGCCGTCTGTTGATTTCGCTCGGAGGCTGTACCGGTACCGTCTCAGGAGTGCGGCTGTAACTGCTGTGTCTCCTGATACAGACGGAGCATCGGCTGACTTTCTGCGTGAGGTAGCCTGCTTTCAAGGTCTCCGGCCTCGGTTTCCTGAACATGGCGTAATCCTCGATGGTGGCCAGCCAGTACGAAACTGCGGTGGTGTAATAGTTGCATCTGCCGTGAGCTTGGCATTCGAGGAATGGTTTCGGTCTGAACTCTTCCAAGCAAGAACCTGGCGAGACCAAGGATTGGCCTGAGCCGTCTGCTCCTGCGTCGGTGTGCTAGAAAAAAAAAGGGATAGGGGTTTGAAAAGTGAGATATAGTATAGATATGAACAACATTATGGTAACGGATTCCACCATATTAACACTTCAGCGGCCATGTCAGTCTTCAATGACTGACATGGAATAATTAAACGTAGCGTCATCTAGTAATCGGAGACTAAAGTTAAACATAGATTCTTTCTAGTTGACGTCTGACGTTTCAGTTTCTACGAATATACTACCATATATTCTCCTCTGGGGCCGAATCGTTTATAAAGGTTTCAAATGGTGGGCCAAGGATTCATATCCATCATCTAAAATACTGTAACTTTCTCCATTTTTGCCTGATAAGGCCTGAAGTCGAACCCACACCGTCAGTCACACAAGACTGACGCAACCCCCATTGGAAATTTTCCTGTCAGTTATATTTGGGAGACATGGCTAAAATGCCCTTTGGCCGTTAACGTGTTGATGTCGCGGATAAAAACGACAACTGTTCGTAAATCGTCCTAAAGCTTTCTAGAATCGATTATCAGAATATAAGGTCTTCTTTGCAGTTTATGATCTGGTATCTCTTCAAGATTTGTATCAGCACCGCAATTATTCTCATTACTTCGATTATCCAGTACCCAGATAACACCAACCATCGGCCCAGCATTTGTAACGCACACCTCTCCCGGCAGTTCATGCACTTTACCGGCGTCGTGTCCAGGCGGCCTCCAGACGTCCGTAATACACATTACGGGCGATTAAATTATTGATTCAGAAGTGCTACAGCGGTAAAAAATTTCAATGCACCATTTGATGGGATCGCTCAGCCACCAACGTATATGCGCTTGCAAATCCGTATCAAGGAAGATGAGTTTTTCGAGCACTTTCCTAAACTACAAACTGTGCGCTTTTAAAGTTTGTAGTTCGCGACGCCGGAAAGGCATATTACATTTCGATAGTCGGCCGTCAGTTCTCAAGGAGATCGGTTTTATCTGGGTACTTACCTACATTATGCCTGTTATTTCAATGCATCGTGATTTTCTTAATTTCAGTAGATGGTATGTAGGTATGTTGTGGGTAACCCTTATTCTTATTGTAGACTCTGAATGTATGACCTTTTTTCGAGGTTTTCAAGCATTAATATCGACTATCAATAGAAGATGCATTTCATCGTTAATATTGTCAATATTTTTACTGCTGACATTAGGTAACAGAGGTAACTTCGTCAATTCAGTATGCAGATCATAAGAATAATCGAATCCAAACTTACCATCAAGAAGCTATATCCAACCCAAAGTTCTTCCCATCCACCAGGACACTTAGGTATAGTTATTGTCTGGCTGTGAATTGCTATGACTCTAGTTGGCGCCTCACACACAGAACACCTGAAAAGTATAATTAAAAAATTAAAGTGTGTTGCTACAAAAAGAAGAGAGATTTAAATTATAGATTCTAGTTGCCTCAAGACGTTTCTCACCTTGAAATATATCTCTGGGTATCTCTGGCTTCAATTGGTGTCATCGTCATCGGCATAGGTTCAGTAGTCGACAACCAATAACTGTATTCGTTTCGCTGAGCGTAATCGCAAACATCATTGAGATTACAGAATAGGAACGGCATCGTGTTGAACTTCCTCAAACAGCTTCCTGGAGCACCCAAATCCTGACCATGCGACTTCTCATTACCCATGATGTGCAGCAAAGAGTAACCGTCCCACATACTAACGGTATTCTTGGGACAAACTGGGACTATTTCAGATTGGGAGTGCCTGGTGAAGTAGAAGCCCCTACTTCTCGGCCCCGCGTATTGCGGAGCTGGTGATCCACGTTCTCCCGCCGGGCCTCGATACCCTTTAGCGCCTGTCAAGCCTCGAAAACCTTGATCACCTCGCAAGCCCCTAGGACCGTTGAGACCTGGAAGGCCAGCGTCACCGTAATCGCCTCTGTCACCTTTGGTTCCTTTCATGCCGGTCAGTCCGTTGAGACCAGGTAGGCCTTGCAGCCCTGGCGCTCCGTTGAAACCTGGCAGACCGATTTCTCCGGGCTCTCCTGGCACAGCGCCTATGGCCCAGTCACCCGGTTCTCCCTTCTGGCCTCTGAAGCCCGGCATTCCCGGTAGTCCGTCTCTGCCAAAGTCTCCGGGTAGGCCTTTAGGACCTATGGGGCCTTCCTCTCCTGGTAGGCCGTCTAAGCCTGAGTCACCACGTTCGCCTTTTGTGCCGTTGAAGCCTGGGGCGCCTCTGAACCCTTCGTCTCCAGGCCCACCTGTATCCAAAAGTTATTTTGAACTCATTTTTCGAACTGAACATTCCGAGAATCATACTCAACATTTTTTCTTTTTATACAGGGTGACATTAAAATAAATACATTAAATTTGAACCCTAAGTAGGCTCAAGGTATACTATCGAATGGCACCATTGAAAAAATATAGGGGTCAAAATATGATTTGGGACATGATCCCCTTTTCCGCCCAAAATTATACTCATCGAGAGCTAGTCACTCATATGGAAGGCATATCCTAGGAAGATAATAGCGGACAACAAAGCGATGCTGCCAATGGTTCATTATGGTGTGACAGAAAAAAAAAGGATGTTTGTCAGATCTGAGATAGGTGAATAATGTGGTGAATTGGATCTTCTGACTAATATTTTAGACTAGAAGATTCATTTCTAGAAAACTTGACGAATTGATCGAGAAATCGGAATTGATAGTCATTATAGGCATGGAAAGTATAACGTTACATTTTTGAAAATCACTGACATAAGGAAAGAGGAATACCAAAATAATACTGGGAGAAATGATAGATAACGCAAACATTTCGAAGTCAACTCACCTCACTAGCGTTTTATAAAGACAAGCTCGAAAGCTCAACAGAAATAATAGACTTAGGCAGTAGAATTTCCCAAAGTGGGGTAAAAACAAGCCTTTCTTTCATTTTAACACCCCAACAGAAGACTTATCAGGAGAACCTCTACCTACTTCAGTTAACAGTAGGATTGATATTGGAATTTTGAAAACTTCATTTTGCACATAGTCCATGAACAAACTATCAAATACCAATGATTCGTTCATTTATTTGACATCTGAGGAGGCACAGAATCACAAAATAGACATTTCGGATAGAACTACAGTTCTGTTCGATGAAACACTACTTCTTGCTAGGCCTGTTCCTTTCCCATGAAAGTGTGCCACTGAACTACACTTTTTCCAATTTACCACCATTTACATAAAGGAAACTTGATGGCGTAAAATTTACGACCAGTGCATCAAGGAAAACTACACAGTGCGCACGCTTGAAGGGAGTACTGTCATATCATTTTATAATTTTTTCATATCCTCGCAGCAATTTTTCAACATATACCTATGTAGAGGAAACACCATTCAAATGGAGAAAACCAGATGACGTAACATTTGCGACAAGCGCCTCATGGAAATCCAGAGCGCGCCCGCTGGAAGGTTAAGGGGAAAAAACAACCAAAATAACAAAATTTCATGAGTAGTAATCGGCATTAGGTGAAACGTTTTTACCCAGATGCGATAGTCCTCTTAAGAGGTCGTGTATAGTGATTACATTGATTACAAATACTCGCAAAAAATTAGGATGAAAATTATGACAGTTCCCGGAAATGTATCGGATTGTAGCCGTATTCCCTGAATAGTATTTTGTGACAGAGAAAGGAACTTAATGAATTGAACTCAATATGATGTGAAAACTGAACTGAATGAACTAAATAGATAATATAGTGTTATATAGCAAAAAGTTATTAGCTAACTATGTGTAATGCATCCAGTGGCGTCGTAATCAAGGGGGGCCCAACTAGCATTTTCAGTCACAGGCACCATGGTTCAATAAGAAACTATTACCTATATTTAGTGATAATAACGTATTTATCACTTATTTCAGAACTTCATAGTATAAATGTCAGTGATAGTTATTTAGTGAGTGAAAATTACGTAGTTTTTACACTAGATAATAACTTCAAAGTGAGAAATTCTCATGGCTTATTACGAAGTAACTATTTCGAAACTGTCACTCCTCAAAACTACTCTTAAGGTTTCGGAACTTTGGATATATTATTACGGTAACGCTTACCACCCCAAGAAGGCTTCACAGTTGCAATTACTCTATGGTCACCAATTAGGTTTCTACGACGTTGTCGTTACTTGATCGATCACCTAATAATTTAGTCAATTCTTGGTGATATTTCAAGTAACATATTGGTAATTCCTACTCAAACAATTCCTTCATAGTTGAAACAACTTTTCGGTAATTATATTCAGTTGAAGTTACCAATACATAGGTTATCATAACTGACGAGTTCCAAAAATAACTTTCTGATTCATTTTCGATTGGAAGCCATATTGATTGATGTGATAACCATTTGAACAGGAAATAATTTTGGTTTTTCTTGTTGATAAACATCATTTTATGAAGAATAATAGCATTCGTTCGATCACAAATTGCATAATAATGGAAATTAACATGATTTACGATGATTTTTGAAAAATAGCCGAATGAAATAGAACCATATTTTTGGTGAAATGAGCCGTATTTTGTGGGCGCATCTTGAATTTCGAGGCAAAATCATCACATTTATCGAAAAACTGAATGTTGTTCGAATTTTTCAAGTTCGAGTATCAATTATTTCGCGTGTTTGTCCTTGTATTATTTATTGAATGGTTAGGCATATTGGACTTGTTCATTTTTCGTGAATGTGAACTTCATGGATGAAATGAAGAATAATAAAGAGAGAAAATAATATTTTTATGAAGTGGAAAAGAAATAGAAAGTCAGGTAGGAAAATTTACTACATCTTTACGTAATTTCGACGTCGACGGGTCGTAAGCATTACGTAATTGTGTGAGTTCCCGCTACGTCGGCAAACCGTAATAATTACTCGTGATTTGTTCCCCATTTTGGTCGTAAATACGTAGTAACGACGTAATTATAACGTAACCGCAACTAGTAAATATTACTTAATAGTCGACCCAATAGTCGTAATTACGTAATCGCGACTATAAATGCTAGTTGGGGGGTCTTGGGGTCTGAATCAACCGCGCGATCGAATGACTTGAAATTCGGTCACCCAGTATATATGATGATGCTCACTCGAAATATGGTATTGAATAAATCGTAGGTATACAGGGTCACACCGAAGTGCACCTCAACTCTCTTATTTGAATAGGGACACCCAGTATATTATTCCATATTCAAGTAGAGTTCATTATTACAAATTCAACAATGCCGGGTTTCATGGGATTTTTTTCAAACTACTACGAAGATATGGCAAAAAATGAAACGATTCAATAAAAAATTTATATGATTAGATTTTATTAATATAACACGATTGATGTCAAATGATGGGTGTCCTGCACATAAGTACAGACCCGTAAAGGATTACCTTCGCCATCGGTTTGGAGAAAATATAATAATAACCACCAATTGTGATGGTGATAGCAACTGACCAGCTCGGTCACTAGACCCGACCCCACTTGATTTTTATTTCTGGGGCTATTCAAAACAACAGGTTTATATGAGTTGCCAATCAAGAGTCTGGAAGACATGAAAGAGAAAATCACAAATTTATCCGCTCAAATTGATCGCAACGTGATAAAATAGGGTCGCAATGAATGTTATCGAAAGAGTTAGGAAATGTTTGCAGCAGAATGGACGACATATTGAGCAGTTGAGGTTTTAATTATTTTCTTTTCATTCGATTTCAATCGTTTCATATTAATAAATAGATAAGAATTAAGGACCATACGCACCTTTGACGTTGATCGCTGGATACCCGTAGTCGCCCTGCAAGCCCTTCAGCCCCTGCAGGCCCTCCAGCCCGTCGAATCCTGGCGCGCCAGGCGCCCCCTGTCTGCCGGCCAGCCCCAACAGGCCGTTGTCCCCGCGCATGCCCTTCACGCCAGGCATGCCGAGGCCTGGCACGCCGGCCCTGCCCACGGGCCCGTCCAGTCCGTTTTCTCCGGGCGCGCCCTTCTGGCCGCGTACGCCCTCCAGGCCGGGTAAGCCGTCTCGGCCTGGGGTTCCGGGTTCACCTGGAGCAAATGCATGGTAGAATGAAAATTCATCTTGTGTGATTTGAACAATGTTTATTGCCTAGTGTCTTCAAACCGAGGACACGTCCTGAAGCCTTCAGCCGAGGTCTGAAAGTAAATTGGCATGCATATACACCTTCTTGAATCACATGTGAATGAATTTGTGCATTTTTCTATCGAAATATATCAAGTAAATAAATTCCGGCCTCAAAGGGCTGAGAAGAAAATCTGCATAGTTATAATAAATCTATGAAAAATAAGAAGATAAAAATCTGATCATGTTTCTTACATGCATTCACATCGATATAACGGACAATGAGAAAACTCGGCCAAGTAAATTGTTCTCTTGAAAAAAAGTCGATTGTGACAAGAACATTTTCACCAACGGTAGGAAAATATGGTACTTGCAGTAGGCAAAACTATATTTCTGGAACGAAGTTTCTGCTGTAAGTGATCAGAACACTTGTTGGTATCAACCAAGTCGATATGTACTTAGAGTTCGCTAATTCTAAGCGAACACTAAACTAGTGCTAGGTTAACGAATACTCACTATTATTAAATTATTTTTCTGACATAAGATCACTTGCTCAGAGCGAACTCATCAATAAAGACAATCTATCAAGTCGATTGTTGCAGGTGACAGCTCACCTGTAGTTATAGATCTCTTTTCCGTTCGGACATCTCCGATATTATTCGAGTACCCACGCCCAACGCGATCACTGTCCAGTGTCCACGAGTCCACGGCGTCATTTCGATCTTAGCATTCGTGAAATTAGTATACTTGCGTTCCCGCTAGTAACATTGAAATTCCAAGTCATGCAAGTGCCCTTTCGAACAACTATACTATATCATATTCGTATGAGAATTCTCTGTTTGTGTGCCGTGCTCTGTGGCCGTGCTCTGAGCTGTGGAGTGTTGTGTTCTTGAACTGTTCTCTTGAAGGAGATAATGAAATACAAAACTCTTCTAGAACAGTACATAATTGTTTCTACATATATACAGGATTTTTTCCACTTCCTATGATACTCGAAGTGGAAGGAAGTGACGTTTAAAAAGTATGAAAGTTGATTCATCCTCAATGCTGGAAGGAAAAAGATAGTGAACCAGAGTGCAGTGCAGTGAGTGAGAGTACCGTTTTTCTCGGTGCATGATGCTGATATACGCGGTATCTAGTATCTCAATATTTGTCGTCAGCCTTACCTTTTTTGTATTTTCTGGATTCATCATACCTATATAATAAAATGTTTTGAATGCATGTGTTTTTGTCTTATTACCAAGGTTTTATCATTTTTCAGAGAACAATGGAGGTATTTTTTCATACTAGCTAATGACAAGTGAATAAGTCACTATTGACAAGTAAATAAGTCACTGATGACATGTAATTAGGCCACTAATGACTAGTGAACAAGTCACTAATGAAAAGTGAATGAGTCACTAATGACAATTGAATAGGTCACTGATGACAAGTGATATGTTCACTAACCGTTATCACTCTGAAATTTAATGAAACAGGTCAATAGTGGTAGGTGTACATTTTCAGGAACACAAATATTCTTGTGGTTATTAACTTGTTTCCTTGTCCCATATAGTATACAAGTTTTTACTTGCCACTATTAAATATTCACTTAGGGTTAGTGATTTTTTTTCTCCGTGCACTGAGAAAACTCGGCCAAGTAAATTGTTTTCTTGAAAAAAAGTCGATTGTGACAAGAACATTTTCACCAACGGTAGGAAAATATGGTACTTGCAGTAGGCAAAACTATATTTCTGGAACGAAGTTTCTGCTGTGAGTGATCAGAACACTTGTTGGTATCAACCAAGTCGATATGTACTTAGAGTTCGCTAATTCTAAGTGAACACTAAACTAGTGCTAGGTAAACGAATACTCACTATTATTAAATTATTTTTCTGATATAAGATCACTTGCTCTGAGCGAACTCATCAATAAAGACAATCTATCAAGTCGATTGTTGCAGGTGACAGCTCACCTGTAGTTATAGATCTCTTTTCCGTTCGGACATCTCCGATATTATTCGAGTACCCACGCCTCGACCCACGCCCAACGCGATCACTGTCCAGTGTCCACGAGTCCACGGCGTCATTTCGATCTTAGCATTCGTGAAGTTAGTATACTTGCGTTCCCGCTAGTAACATTGAAATTCCAAGTCATGCAAGTGAATTCTCTGTTTGTGAACCGTGCTCTGTGGCCGTGCTCTGAGCTGTGGGGTGTTGAGTTCTTGATCTGTTCTTCTGAAGGAGATAATGAAATACAAAACTCTTCTAGAACAGTACATAATTGTTTCTACATATGTACAGGATTTTTTTCCACTCCCTATGATACTCGAAGTGGAAGGAAGTGACGTTTAAAAAGTATGAAAGTTGATTCATCTTCAATGCTGGAAGGAAAAAGATAGTGAACCAGAGTGCAGTGCAGTGAGTGAGAGTACCGTTTTTCTCGGTGCATGATGCTGATATACGCGGTATCTAGTGTATCAATATTTGTAGTCAGCCTTACCTTTTTTGTATTTTCTGGATTCATCATACCTATACAAGGTGTTTCTAAAATAGGTGGTCAAACTTTGGGAGTATATAGTGTGAGTTAAATAATTACGAAAACCTTGGTAACATTTTTTTCTGAAGTGCCCCCCAAGAAAGATACAGCCCCTCGAAGGGGGGTCTCGGAGAATGATTTTGTACTATTATCTTCAACACCTTGTATGATGAAAATCTAAAATTTTGTTTATCCACTAACTATTCAGTGCCGGTTCGAATGGAGTTAAAATCACCTCAAAATTAAATACAGGAGTGTGTCAAAATAGGGAGGTAGGGGGTAAAAATAACCCCAACTTTTCAAAATTGGTTTGTAAGGGTTTTTGGGGTTGGAAATTTTGAATTCGTTGTCGGAATTCATGAATTAAAAATAGACGACGAGTTTCGTGATTATGGTCTGATCCTATTGAAAATACTAAAATAAAAAATTTTGTTAAAAACGACCTTTTTTTAAATTTTATTCGCTAATAGTTCATTTTATCGAGATGCAACAAGAGCACCTTTTCTATGTAAATAGCCCTGAGATTTCATAATTTCATGTCAAAAAACTGAAATTGCGATGAACAAAAATGTTGGGGTTATTTTTACCCCCTACCTCCCTATTTTTACACACCCCCGTATTTTATTTTGAGGTGATTTCAACTCCATTCGAACCGGCACTGAATAGTAAGTGGATGGACAAAATTTCAGATTTTCATTATACAAGGTGTTGGAGATAATAATACAAAATCATTCTCCGAGGCCCCCCTTTGAGGGGCTGTATCTTTCTTGGGGGTCACTTCAGAAAAAAATGTTACGGAGGTTTTCGTAACTATTTCACCCACTCTATATGCTCCCAAAGTTTGACCACCTATTTTAGAAACACCTTGTATAATAAAATGTTTTGAATGCATGTGTTTTTGTCTTATTACCAAGGTTTTATCATTTTTCAGAGAACAATGGAGGTTTTTTTTCATACTAGCTAATGACAAGTGGATAAGTCACTATTGACAAGTAAATAAGTCACTGATGACATGTAATTAGGCCACTAATGACTAGTGAACAAGTCACTAATGAAAAGTGAATGAGTCACTTATGACAATTGAATAGGTCACTGATGACAAGTGATATGTTCACTAACCGTTATCACTCTGAAATTTAATGAAACAGGTCAATAGTGGTAGGTGTACATTTTCAGGAACACAAATATTCTTGTGGTTATTAACTTGTTTCCTTGTCCCATATAGTATACAAGTTTTTACTTGCCACTATTAAATATTCACTTAGGGTTAGTGATTTTTTTTCTCCGTGATAGAATGAGTAGAGGGTGTTTCGATGAGAGCGCAATATTTCGACGTTTATTGGTTTCTGTGCAGGGGCGGATCCAGGCCTCCCCCCTCTCGGTAACCTCATGGATATGTAGAAATGTAGGTATTTTGAATAGATGAAAAAATTACTGTTTGTCTTCATAGCTAGAAACTTCGCAACAGCTCTTAGGAATTGCGAATTTGTAATTAAACTCTGCTGTTTTTGTTTTCGATAACACTGCCACTTGGTAATGTGCTCCAAACAAAAAACTTAGAGACAAAAAACAAGCTAACGATGTGTTAGTATCACCATAGATTAACGAACTCTTCTGACGCTTCCAAATAAAAAGGATGATATTCTAAATCTAAATACTATCTAAGTATTTTGAATGAAGCGAAACAGAAATTAAACGAACTGAATATTGAATTTTCGATGCCGAGAATAACAGGGAGAATGGTTCATAGACCAAATCCTACGGTTTCCTCAATGGATGACCATTACAGAATAACTGTTTTCATCCCACGGCTTGATAGTATTATCCTTGATCTGAATGATCAGAAAATAACCTATGAAACCTTCACCTATGTGTGCCATCAATAACTAAAAACAAAACAGATGAGGAAATATTAGGGGTATGAGTATGATAAAATGTTCTTTCAGAAGATCGTTTCTGAAATGTATATATGGAAGAAAATGAGGGATACTAAGCAAAATATACCAAACAATGGTATAACTGCTCGGAAGGAATGTAACAAACATTTGTTTCCTCCATAAACATTCTTCAGGAACTATTACGTTGCCTGCCTGTAAGTGTTGCATCTGAAAGGAGTTTTTCAACACTCAGAAGGCTGAAAGATTGGATAAGATCCAGAATGGTCTAAGACAGGTTGAATGGATTGACATTAATGCAATAATGCATATTCACAGGGGCATCTGCAGCAGTCTGATTATTGATGATATCATCCAAAGATACGCTAGTCAGAAGAATGGAAGACTGGAATTTGTTATTTATATACATTTTATCCTTATATCAAAATGTAGAACATGAGTAATAACTAATAAACATCAAGAATCTGATAACTACGAAAGTGTTTTGGTAATTACGAAGTTATATAGCGATTGAATATAGTTATAACAAAAATTCATTGAGCGAATCGTAAAACTTTTGTTGTTATCAGATTCTTGATGTTCAACAGTTCAACACATGTTCTACGTTTTGATACTTGTATAATTCCATCATGTCACTTTTCACTCATAATGCTGCAAGATGTGAAGTAACTTTTCTTCATCTTAGATTCACTTTTGGTACCAATCATTAATGATGATCATCTGAAGCAGGATTAACTGCATATTTTCGTATATTAATTATGTGGAGGTGACTTCGACTTTTCTTCCTTAAAATTTTCTTCTCTTCATCACGTTTGAAGTTCTGGAAAGAAGAGCTATTTCATCTGATTAAGTAAATCATTGTCGGTCGTTTAATCAGCGCATTCATGAACATAAGGTGAATGTCTTGAAAAAAAAAATTCAACACACCAACCATATATTAGAAGAAAACTATAGTTTTGATGATAATTTCTAAATTCTACACGTAGAAAATAAAGAAATGGAACTCAATCATGATTATATTCATATGCTCTTAGATCACCTTCACAGTCATTCTTCTGTAGTTACACAGGATGTTTTTTCTATAAGAAATTATAATCCTACCTATTTTTCTTGTTTTGTTCTACGATTACCATAATGAAGAATCTGATACACAAATATGTTCGGGCGGATTTCGTGAACTTGAAGAAGAAGTGTGTTTGATTGTCCAACAATAAGAGCAGTGCACATTTTGCAAAAATTGGACATAGTGATACTGAAATGGATATAAATATTGAATAGGTTGATGATATGAATTTCGATACTATTTTTGATTAGTTTTTGAATTTCCACTGAATATACTTACTATTTTTTGTGCCATAATATATTATAAGTATCAATAGTATAGACTATACTGTATTGTAGTAATAAGTGCTACGATATTATGTCTCATAAAACAAGTGTAATAAACATACATATAGGAAATTTTCTAAGAGGTTGGTGATAATAAAAGAACATTTGAATGTTCAGCTACATGTAGCTAATAAAACCTCCTGTTTTGTTGACGTTTACTATTTTTTAGAAAAAATATTTGTTGTATCCTTGAATCCTTTGAAAAATGATGGTCGATTAGTTTTGATGAAAAAAATCGAATCAAATAAAAATCACCAAAAGAAGGAACATGTGATGATGAACGTTCTTTGCATTGCCATTGGGCAATGGTTCACAAATAACTGTTCAAGATATATACGAGTATTGAAATATTACCTCGTTTTGGGTTCTGTCCCGGTAGACCTGGAGGACCTTGTAGTCCGACGTCACCGCGGTAGCCTGTTAGACCAGGATAACCTGGTTCGCCTGGCAGTCCGGCGTAGCCATCATCTCCTCTGGTACCCTTTGGACCTGAGTAGCCTGGTAGTCCGGTGTCTCCCCGAATACCCTTCAGACCTAGGAGAAATGACAGATTGGTATAGTAATCGATGTAGAAGACGTTCTACTAGGGGACGTGGGAGGAATAGGACAGGGGGTAATAGTGGAAAAACCAGGTGAAAAATTCAAATTCACCGCGTCATGCATCGGTCCCGTTGGCGACAGTACTTTAGTATGTGAGAATCTCGTACTAGATGCGATAAAAATTACGTCTGAACTTGACATTCAAAATGCCCTACTTCCTTACATATATTTTTTTCAAACCTGAATTATATTATTTACTCTAAAACTCATTATATATAGAAACTTGTAAACACATAGTGACGTTATTTGTTCCTAGCGAATAATAAAATTCAAATCACAAGCCAGTTTCACATAGGGCAAATACCATTATTGTCCTCTGAAAATTTATTGTTGTTGTTGAGAATAGTGGACTTTAGTGCTTGAATTTTGTGTGACAATGCTGATTATAACAGAGAACAGTTTATATTTCAGAAAAATGCCCCAAATATTCAGAAAGAGAACAATAAGCGTGTTAGATATCAACTTGAGACAATGAGAATGCCATAACAGCAGTTCGGCGAAAAAATTCGCTGAGAGACGTGACTAAATCAACGATTGTTATGCCCCGCGAAATACTATCTAAGGAAAATATTGAAATATTAAAAATGGAATTCATACCCGTTAAGTAAACATCGTTTGTCGGCAAATTTAGGATACTTAATATTTATTTTAATGACTCTAGATCAACCTTGAAATTGGTATCTCCAAGAATGCGCTAATTATTGAGACCGACAAACGAATATGATTTGATTTATTGTTATTACCATATGAATCTATGAAATCCCTTCCTGTTTTTGACTATAAAAACACTTCATTGTAAAAAATTGGAATTCAATTGATCATTAACTCTCGAGACGTCAACTAGTAAAGATGTAGCTCCAATAGAATCAGAATAGATCGCGAAGTGCATAGAAGTACCTTATAGTGGTTATTAGAATCAGTGCAAGTGAGAAAGAGATAATGGCAATTCTTTCAACTCCCAAGCAAGTTGGTATGTCTTTGTGGTTACATTTAACAGACTATAGGACTGAAAGTGCTTTTGACATTCAACATAACTTTCTAACGATAATATAATGGACATTTTAAAGGAACTAGTCAGTCAACCTATTAGTGTCAAGGGTTAGGATTCTGTTTAATGAATTAAACGTATAAGGGTTTTGCAAACTAACTTGATGAGAGGTATAGAAATAAGGGATGATTAGAGAAGTTTTAGCTATTATAGTATATGGGCTTAGAGTAGAAGTAGGGTTGAGTTTGGATATAGATAGTTTAACTGAGTGTATTCTTTCAAGAGGTTTATGAAGGGACGTTTATTTGTTGTTTTGGAGAATATTAACGTTGAGTTGAGGGTTTTCATTGTATATTGATTATTTTTGATTTTATGAATTTATAGAGTGATTAGTTGAGTTTCTGGATATTTTCATAACTTTGAGATATAAGTGAGTTTGAGTTTTCTGAATATTTGAATTTGTTAGGATTCTGATCATGAATGTAGTCTATTTCTTTGATTATAGTTTATTATCTTTGTATTTGTTTTTCTCCTGCATTCTGCCACCATCATAGTCCGAACCCACACAATTTAATATCTGCTGTAGATTCCACACCCTGTATAAACATACCAGCCGCTCGGTATATAATCTGACAACATCTCCCTTATACAGGGGTGGATCAACACACGATCAATGATCAATGATTCGGAATTTCCAAGTCAACTTTAGGTAAATTTATGAACGTTGAAAATGTACAAGATATTCATGTAGGTGCTGAAATATTAAATATTGTGAGAGGAATATATACCTTCAGAAGAATAGACTAAGGTGAAGACCAAAAAGATTCAACAATGAATTGTTTCTTATTTTTCTTTGATGTTTTTTGAATTCTTGTTTTTTTTTCACTTCATTTTCTGACAAATACAGTTTCTAAAGATCCTATGATGAATTTTGTACATACACTTCCTTCACAATCAATGTTATTCTTTTTGTATAAAATCATGAAGATGTTATGTCCAATTAAAGGTTGAATTCACACGTATAATTTATAATTCCGATCATAACTTTTTCATTCGAGAAGATATCAAAATGAATCAAACGTCGTTCAATAGTGGACTATTTGTATATGTCCACAATTATTGGCATGAAGAAATTTACCATGAATGTAGTAGTAATGTAGTAGTAGGTAATCTTCATTATAGGATATATCCTAATCTTACAATAAATATAATACATAATGATAATTTGGAGTTTCACATAGTGCCAGAAATATTGATAAAATTCGAATTTGAATATAAATAAACTATGCAGTACGTCTACATTTACCATCATGAGGGAAATAATGGACAAAAATAATTAAAAAAAGAAAAGTCAGATAGAGATTACCCTATCGGAATATGCTAGCAATTGGTCCTGGTTTTCTAATTCATATATCAACAAAAATGAACATAGGGGATTTAAAAAGGACCATTCTCAGATGGACCATGAACATACAAAAATGGATATATATTTAGAATATTCACTCTTTTTCAGTTAATTCAATAGAAAACAACTACTTTCCTGGCTATATGCCACGACGAACATTGAATTATATCTATTGAACACACACGATAAGAGTTTGAAAATAAAATATAAAAATTTCTGAAATTGAGAATTTGCATTCTCCTTCAGACAAAAATATGTATATATACACATCATTCTGAATATTCAACAGAAAACAACTACTTTCCTGGCTATTTGCCACGTCGAACATTGAATTATATCTGATGAATATTCAAAAGGGGAACATGAAAAATAAAGAATAAAATCCTCCGAAATTGAGAATTGACATTCTTCTTGAAATCGGATATAATTCAATGTTCGACGTGGCAAATAGCCAGGAAAGTAGTTGTTTTCTGTTGAATATTCAGAATGATGTGTATATATACATATTTTTGTCTGAAGGAGAATGCAAATTCTCAATTTCAGAAATTTTTATATTTTATTTTCAAACTCTTATCGTGTGTGTTCAATAGATATAATTCAATGTTCGTCGTGGCATATAGCCAGGAAAGTAGTTGTTTTCTATTGAATTAACTGAAAAAGAGTAAATATTCTAAATATATATCCATTTTTGTATGTTCATGGTCCATCTGAGAATGTTCCTTTTTAAAACTTTCATACCCAATCAGGGGGTTCAAACTTGAACGATGGAAACTTGTGATTTTTATAGACCTCTAATCGCAGATTCGTGATAGAGTCTCAATTCAGAATTCATTTCCACGCCCTGTATGATGAATGTCAATTTATCATACACCCAAAAGCAACATAGGGGATACTACTTTTTCTGACCTAATGGTTTTCGAAATATGCCAGTCCCTTTTGTCCACTATCAGGGAATTAGTCCATTATTCCCCTCGTCTCTCCTACTATAATTCGATAACTTGAACGAACTCACGTGTTCGTGTAATTTTTAGGTTATGATACTCTGAATAATTCGGTGATGAATGACGATAATACTCACCATGTATACCGAACATGCCTACAGCTCCCATATCTCCCTTTTCCGCATAACCGTACGGTGCCAAACCCGGCAAACCCTGGTTACCCTTAGCTCCCTTGGCTCCTTCCAGACCCATCATTCCTGGCATACCCAGGTCACCGGGCATGCCTGGCCTTCCCAGTAACCCTGGTTCGCCATCCATACCGCGTTCTCCCTTTGTGCCGTTCAAGCCGTACCCTCCCGAATAACCCATGATTCCTTTGAGCCCTGGAAGTCCATTACGTCCTGAGTACCTAAGGAAAAGGAAACAATCTCATTAATTCTTGGTGTACTAGTGGTTGCGCTATGGAGACAGAACTCTAATAATTTTTACTCAGTCGCCTAGTGTATTGATATTGTAGCCACATTCTGAAGAGGAACCCGTACTATTCAGCTTATTCGCAAGAGAAGACATTTGTTTTAGACTAATGAACATGGTGCCATACTGCCTTTGCTAATCAACTGTTTCATTCTATTTTTTCGTCTATTTCAATATTGCAGGTGAGGTTTTTTTGCAAATTAGTGGAAAACTCATTGAAAAATATCATATAGTTGTGGAAAAATAGAAATTATATCGAAGAATAATTCTATTTCTCGCCAGAAAGTTGGTGGTCTCGCGTTGTGGACACAAGGGAAAAGTACCTATCCTGTTTTTTCGTTCAGATGGAAAATTGTTCTCATTTTGCTCTACTTGTGATGTCAAATTATATCTCAGCGACCAGAAAAATTGTTTCTTTCAATATCATTTCAATAAGCATTTGTGATTATTTTGATAGCTGAAATAGTAGTAGTATATGCACTTCGTTGGTATATATGTTCACAACAACTGGTCAACGACCACCATTGAGGTCCATTAGCCCAAAGTGGTCTGCATTGTGTGTTCTGTGCAGGCATTGTTACTAACTCCATACGCCAACTTAGAAGCAGCACTGTGAATTAGAAGGCAATAGTGAATCGTGCAGGACCATCCCCAGCCGATGCTCCAAAACTCAACAATATCAAGTCAAATATCAAACATTTCTTGCTCTGGCTGGGATTCCAACCCACGACCTCGCGGTCATGAATCGGGCGCTCTTCCACTGCGTCAATCTCGACTGAAACAAATTTGTGGAAATTCATCTTGTGTGATTCGAACAATGTTTATTGCCTAGTGTCTTCAAACCGAGGACACGTCCTTAAGCCTTCAGCCAAGGTCTGAAAGTAAATTGGCATGCATATACACCTTCTAGAATCACATGTGAATGAATTTGTGCATTTTTCTTTTGAAATATATCAAGTAAATAAATTCCGGCCTCAAAGGGTTGAGAAGAAAATCTGCATAGTTATAATAAATCTATGAAAAATAAGAAGATAAAAATCTGATCATGTTTCTTACATTCACATCGATATAACGGACTAGTAATGATGCTTGAAGGAAGCTCTTACATACCCAATACGACCAGGTGTTCCTGTATCGCCTATTTCTCCCGTCGACCCAGCCGCCCCATAATTTCCTTTTTCTCCTTTAACTCCTGGTGCTCCATAATAGCCACCTCTTCCTGGTTCTCCCATCTCTCCTTTGTAACCTGGTTGTCCAACTACGTCTCGACCAGGCTCTCCTGGTAGTCCAGGCAAACCAGGCAGTCCGGGTATACCGTCAACACCAGATGAACCTCGTAGTCCATCATCACCTTCAATTCAAATTGCAATAATACAGGGTGTCCCATAATGAGCGTGCAATACTCCACCAGCAGATTTAACGATTGGAAATATGAAAAAAAGCTCCTATAAAAATACTTCGAACAATGTCTCATAAGCAAGCTACAGCCCATTGAAGGCGGTACCCTGAAGTTGGATTTTATTTTATATCTTCGAAACTGTTGATAGCAGAACTATGAAATCCTGCAGATCGGCCAATCTTTTTATGCCTGATATTATGCGATAATAATAATTTGAAAATTCCATCCAGAAATGGGTCAAACTGTGGAGGGAGGGGGGTAAAATCACCCCAACTTTTTTTAGTGTGTTTTTTTTGCAACGTCAGCATGAAATTATGAAACTTTGAAGTCTTTTGCATGAAAAAGTTAGTGTTGTTCAACTTCGATAGGATGCACCGTTCTCGAGTAAAATCGATTCGAACACTACCTTACATGTCATAAAAATTCATAGGAATTTACAAAAATGAAAAAAATTAAGCGTAGGCTATAGAACACGACCACAATGTTTGGGAAAACAACGAGACAGGTGACAGATACATAAAATAAGTGACAGGAGGTTTGAAAGTTGTGTTCAAAGTTAATTAGGAAGGTGTTTTGTAAAAATAGAACGTTTCACAAATCGAGAGCTGGCAGACATGCACTTCGTGTATGACTTCTCTAATGGCCGTGCTCTGGCGGCTGAGCATAAATACCAACGACGATTCCCAAACCAAGGAGCTCCCACACGTCTGATTTTCACACACATGCATACATCAACGTTTGACGGAAAATGGCAGACGTTTACACGGACAGGGTATGCACCAAGAAAAACACGCAGTTGAAAATGTCTTGAACCATTTCGAAGATGACCCTCAAATAAGCCTCAGAACGGTTTCCAGATTAATGCAAATGCCCGCGAACAGTAATTAATGATGATTTGAGTTGGTATTTATGAAATTAAAATGGACCGTGCCTTTTTTGAGATAGAAAAATGGTTACGATGCAGGGAATTCACCCATATCATTTTCGACGAGTAAATCACTTAGAACCGCGTGACTTTTTGCCAAGAGTACAGGGATGCCAGTGGGTTTTGAATCATGCAAATTTGCTTCCTTACATCTTATGGAGTGATGAAGCCACATTCACCAAGGATGGAGCATTCAATATGCATAACACCCATTTCTGGGCTAACAAAAATCCCAGGGTAGTACGACGGACAAGCTTCCAACAAAGATTTTCAGTGAAGTAATGGTCAGCAATAATAGGTGGTCAACTAATTGGTCCTATTGAACTTCCCAACCGCATCAATGCCGAAGGTTACTTGAACTCTCTCCGAAATAATCTCGGTGAATTATTGGAAGATGTTCCCTTGAATTTGCGAAACATGGGGCACCAGCTCATTTTGCACGAAATGTAAGAGCATGGTTGAATGAAAACTTCCCTAATCGGTGGATCGGTCGTAATAGACCTATAGCTTGGCCACCCCGATCTCCCGACCTGAACCCACCTGAATTTGAATTCACTGGTGTACACCACTGAATAAATGAGGCTGCAAATGTAATAAGATCAAACCAATTTCAAATTTTGCGTGCTTCTCAACCTATGAGTCGTCGGGCCCGACGCGTTCAACAAAATGGAAGCCACTCTGAACAATTACTCGACTGAAAATAATGTCGCTCAGTTTAATTTAATAAGCATTTTTTCCATCAATTAAAGAACAATTACTTGAGGGAAAAAAATGTCGCTCAGATAAATTTAATAAGTATTTTTCCATAAATTAAATGACTTTACAATGCTTCTGTCACTTATTTCATAAATTTTCATGTCACATGACTTGATCGTCTTTTCCCAAACCATGGTCGTTCTACCTAGTTAGGTAGTTTTTCATTTAGATCGACAATGCCCAAACATACTGGTTTTCGAGTTTTTGCCAAAAACTACTGTGGTTTCCGAAAAAAAAAATATTTTTTTTGTATTTTTTTAAATGGACTAATTTTAGAGGAGTTCCATAAATGGATGCTTTTATGCATTTCAGGAAAGCGTTGGAGCAGATATGTATACCAGGTTACTCAAAAACAATCAATAATTTATTACTTCGCAGTCTGTGATAAAAGTTGTCTACCTTAGTGAGCAGTAAATCAACACATCTCATCAACAAAAATAAACAACGATACCTTGTTTCTATAACAACGTATTGTTGAAACAATGTAGGTATGCATAGAGGTTATATCAATTGCCAATTTTCATGAAAACGTCAGTGTAATTCGGGTCCTAAAAAATTTAAAGATGCCTCGTTCAAATCGGGTCGAAATCATTTGGTAAGATAATTATAGTGATATAAACTATAATTCAGTACAGATGATTATTATTTCAGGTTACGACGATTAGGATACACCCAAACTCATTCAAGTACCATTTTCAATAAGTCAGTCATGAAAATAAATGGACTGATTCATCGTTTTGAAGATACAGGTAATCAGGCCATTTAAAAAAAATTACAAAATTTTTTTTTTCCGAAACCACAGTAGTTTTTGGCAAAAACTCGAAAACGTCCCGAGGTATGGTTGCTATTTATGAAATGCCTGAATAAAATATGAGCATCGTGGTCTTCCGACAAAATGGGGGGGGGGCGGAGAAATTCTTTTCAAAATGCACGAAACTTTGTTTCACCCTGTATCACGGGTCCTGATCAATTCAGAAGAAGTTGTAAGGAACGGTTCGAAAGACGATGAAAAAGGCATTCAGAATCTGGGCGGCAATTCAAAATTCGTTCAATATTTTAGAAATTACAAGAAGTCAAACTTGATGCCAAATTTCACTATTAACGTTTCAATTGACGCCCAGTTTATTTTACATACCTTGATCGCCCTTCTCTCCACTTATGGACGCATCTCCTTTCTCCCCAGGCCAACCCGGGAACCCATCGTCTCCTCGGGGCCCAGTCAGTCCTGGTTCCCCTTGGAAGCCCGTCGGCCCTTGAGGACCGACGTTCCCCCTCTCTCCTTTGATTCCGGCGTAGCCCACAAAGCCTTTAGGGCCGGTGGGGCCACGGTCGCCGCGGTAGCCCATGTCTCCTCGTTCTCCTTGCAGTCCTGGGAGGCCTGGAAGACCGTTTCTGCCACTATGACCGGGGTAGCCTTCTGGACCTTCATCACCTACAAAAAGGAAGAATGCCGGCTCAATAGAAATAACTATTATGAACTAGATCGACAGTACCTTGTATTCCTGTAAGTCCTTGGAGTCCAGGTTCTCCCTTAGCACCCGGCAAACCCGCTGGACCTTGAGGTCCATCATCTCCTGTCTGGCCAACATCTCCAAACTGTCCGGGATACCCTGGTTGTCCTGGAGCTCCTGTTCTCCCGTTAGGCCCTGGTAGTATTATCCCTCTCTGACCTTTCGGTCCGGCCAAACCAGGAAGGCCGGAATATCCTGGCGCTCCTTTAGGACCTCTCTCACCCTTGAATCCTGGTCTACCAGGGATTCCTGGACGCCCGTCTGGGCCGAAATCTCCCGGTTCACCTTTTTCACCGTCAGGACCCTGTGGACCGATGTCTCCATTCAGAATAGCCAATCCGCGATCTCCGCGGTCTCCTTTCGGTCCTGCGGCTCCAGGAATTCCTCCTAGCCCAGGTAATCCTGGCTGTCCTGCAAGTCCCCGAGGTCCTTCGTCTCCAGGAATACCTGGATATCCTTTCAAACCCATAGGTCCCTCGAATGATATTCCTGGTTTGCCGCGTAGACCTGACGGACCTGGCCGACCCACGGAACCCTTGTATCCTTGTTGGCCGATCAAACCATCGTAGCCAGGTTCACCCATTTCTCCTTTTACTCCTTCTTCGCCTGTTTTGTCTATTATCATGCCTAGAAGTTGTCCAGGTGCTCCTCTGATTCCTGGTGATCCCGGCAGCCCAGTGTCACCGCTGTAAACCAATCAGTTACAATGTTGTTGTTGGTTCGAAATTAAATTGATCACGTAATATGTCTTTTATGGAGATATCGAGACGAAAACTTACCGAGTACCTCTTTGCCCCTTTCTTCCTCTCAAAAATTCCCTTGGAATTGAGGCTCGATCTCCTTTTTGTCCGGGCTCTCCATTCCTTCCAGGCAAACCGTCTCTACCCGGAATTCCCGGCTCTCCAAAGTCTCCCCTTTCGCCCTTCGGTCCTGGGTGACCAGCATCACCCGGTATCCCCTGTGGGCCTATGTCTCCGTCAGGTCCGATAGGTCCAGGAAATCCAGGGTCACCTATCTCCGCTTCTTCTGGTTTTATTTGAGAAGGTGCTGGATAGTTTAGGAGACCTATAAAGACAACGCAATTTTCATTCTCATGCTCAAAAATTACATAGGGTTCTAAAAGCCAGCCTATGGAAAGCAGAGCTAGGCAAAGAACTCTAAACAATTTTGAGAGCAGACACAATAGATCTGAAAAGGTCGCGAGGTGAAGGTAAATAGCTTGAAATCCCCATTCTAATCTAATTCAAGAAGTAGCATCCCCATTAGTAAGTATAGCAGTTCACATTATGGATATTATTGGATGCAGTTTTATTTTATTAGAAAAATTACTGTACAGACCTCTCGGTCCGTCCATTCCAGGAGGACCTTCAATTCCATCCGCTCCGGGAGTGCCGTCCAATCCGGGTCCACCGAGTAATCCGGGTCTTCCGTCTGGCCCTCTAGGTCCTCGAGGTCCAGGAAGTCCTTGGTATCCTGCGGTACCCGGTCGCCCTTTTCGGCCATATTCGCCAGCTTCTCCCTTCAATCCTGGCCGGCCTGTAGAATAATAGTAGATTGTTTCATTAGGATCAAAAGTGACACTTTGTTTGACAAGCGAATTTTGAATTTGCGGGTCAAACGAAGTCATTTTTGATCCGAATGAAACATGCTATTTTTTCTGCAACTGGAACAATTAACTCAAATAAATATGTGAAGTAACCACCAATGCCGTGCCATATGTATATACTGCAACAAACCAAAATCAATGTAAATCCGTGTGGTGAGAATATTCTACCTGCATTAACAGCAGGTTCATTCAATTTTCAAGGATGTTCGAATTGTAGTTTCAATATAAATACAACCACATAGTGACATATTCGTGTATGTACCAGGTGCTCTAATGGCAAATACCGCGCCAGTGGCAGGTATAGGAACAAGACGAAGAAAATTGTAGGTTAGTGTGCATATCAACAATGATAATAGCGATTATTTATTCCTCTCCATACTACACTGTGTTTGACTTGATAATCAAATGAAGGTAAACAATATCGTTGTTTGAGATGAAAAACTATTGTTTGCCGTGATTATTACAAGTTATCAATCCCGAGAATAACGAATGAAATACAGATATGTATAGTGATATGTATAATGTGCTTATATCACAAAAAAAAAGTTATTTCATAATTCGATAGAACTCACCCAACCTAGCTAACCACCGCAAACCATTTCTTGCTGTGAGCTCCCTACATTTAAAAAAAAATTATGGAAATCCCCGATTTTTCGGACCTCTGAAAACGAGGCGAAATAAGACTATTCCAGACAGAGATGAATTATACATGATTTCTGACAGAGTGAATAAGCGCGAGATCACAGTTGAAAGAATTAATATATCAGTTGCCTCAGTCTCCGTCGGGCGTTTGGTATTTTCTTTTAACTATGGCGAGATGAGGTTTCTACGTCATAAGAGGGTCCGTTTTCAGAAGGTTCTATTATTTATGTCCAAAAATAAAACATTTCAGTTAATTTTTCGATCGAATTATGTCGTCAATCATTATTTATGTATAAAAGAATCATTATGAACATGGTTTGAGTTGAAAGTTCTACTAAGATGTACACGCCCATTCCTATTCTCAACTATAATAAGGTGTATTTATATCTCCAGCATAGCTATGAAATGCCAAATCTGCCGAAATCGGAAACAAATCAGGTATACGTCCTAACCTAAATAACCAACGTTCTAGTACATCCTTTTTAGTTCCTCGGAGTTGAAGTTCAACTTTAGCTCCTAGGAACTGAATATGTTGCCTAGCAACATACCTATTTTTGTATCAGTAATAGAAACGTCAATTCAAGAGCTACTTTTGGTATTAAAAGGGACGACTTTTTTGTCGGTTGCAGAAAAAATTATATATTCGAAATGTTCCTCACACTCTCACTGGATAAAAGAAAAACAATAAATTTTGAGAAAAAACGAAAGTTGAAAAAATATGTATTCATGACCAAATCTTACCAGGTTGACAAACACCACAATCATCACCCCTCCTTCCTTTCAACCCAGGGAATCCATCTCCACCGGGAAACCCTGGATCGCCAGCTAAACCTGGCGGTCCTCTCGACCCTGCATCCCCTGGTGGCCCTCTTATCGGTAATCCCACCCCCGGGAAACCTTTCTGCCCGGGATCCCCTGTGTCTCCTCTATCTCCGGGAAGGCCGTCGAATCCGGGAATCCCTGGAATGCCAGGTGGTCCTGCAGGTCCGTACACTGTTTCGCCAGCGAATCCTTTCTCTCCTTCCGGGCCGTATAACCCAGGAGAGCCTGGAGGTCCGGTGTTTCCTGGCCTGCCTGGCAAACCGGCGAGTCCTTGCTCTCCTTTCACTGATGTTCCCTTTGAAAACACGAATTCATCATTATTCCAGCGTTTTTGAATAGTATTCCATCCTATCAGTCTCCTGTGCTCTCCATCTAAGATAATTGAGCGAGTGATTAAACAGATGTTACAGGAATTTATCGACGACAACGAGCTGACACCAGATGAGCAGTTCGGTTTCAGAACTGGCCACTCAACTGAGCTGCAAGTCTTGAGACTCATTGAGAACACAATATCGTTGAGAAATGATAGACAAAAGACCCATCTTGCTCTCCTTGACATAGCGAAAGCATTTGACAAGGTGTGGCATGATGGTATTTTGTACAAAATGATCGATATGGGCTTTCCTGACGATTTGGAGCAGTTGATGTGTTCATTTATGAAAAATCGAACTATTCAAGTGAAACTTGATGATCAACGATGTGGTATCAAGCCCATTGAAGCTGGTGTTCCTCAGGGAGCAGTTTTATTACCGCTGTTGTACAGTTTATATACTAGCGATTTGCGGAGACCAGTGAGGTGCAAGATGTCGCTTTTTGTTGATGATACGGCAGTTCTTGCATATTCGGCAAATTTCGAGCAAGCAGCTGTGAACCTCCAAAGCGCGGTGAACTCCCTTCAGGAGTACTTCCTAAGATGGAAGATCGAATTGAATCCTGCAAAAACACAATTGGTCGCACTCGGAAGGGAGCGGAGGCCTCCCAGAACCAGAATAGTCCTGGATGGTCATGAGTTAGAGTAGTCTTCACAAGTTAATTACTTAGGTGAGTGCATTGACAAAAAGCTCACCTGTGCCCAGCACATTGAACAGCAAGTGTCAAAATCTAAACGAGCCATTGAAGCCCTGTATTCATTTCTAAACAGACGAAGTCACTTGGGTTTGAGACAAAAATTGAATATTTACATCATGGCTATCAGGCCAATTTTACTGTATGCCTCGGTTGTCTGGGGCCACACATTTAAATCTCATATCAGCAGATTACAAATATTACACAACAAAATCGCGAGAATGGTGTTAGGATCTCCTTGGAATATTCGGAATAACCAGATGGCCAGGGATCTGAAACTCACTTCATTCGTGTCCGTCATTAGAGAACGAAAAATCAAGACTTTCGAAAAATCTGAGGTTCATGAGAAACAGCTTCTTCGAATTGCAGTTGATTATGACCCAGGTGATCAATCAAAGTTCAAAAGACCGAGATTGTCCATAAAATAGAGAAAGTATCAACATCATGACCAAAACTATTCTCAAATTTTTTATATTTATTTGATCCGTTCGATCTTTTTCAATTCTCAGAAGGTATTTCTGAAACTTATTTTGGGGCAGAAGGGCTGTTCGCATGATAAATATCAGGATAAGAGGAACTCTTCCCTGGTCTGAATCAAATGAAAGAAAGATAAAAAAAATAGTATAGTAAACTCAGACCCTATACATTCAAAGTTATTGAAAATTTACTCAATTTTCTTCATCAGAAGAATGATTATGGGTCCCACACTCATTATCACTCGCAAGCAACTAAAATCTGATATAGTGTGTATATTGTTTTCAGCTGAAAACCAACCACTTTTCACTGGTTTTTGAAATGTTGGATCTGGATCTGTGGCAAGATTCCAAATTACACAAATCTGATTCACCCTTTTTATTTCGCACAACGATGAATCGTGACAAAGAGGCAAAAAACTACCATCCCAATTTCTCATTTTGTCAAGAGTCAAGAATCCGCAGAGAGACTACTAAGAATGAGAATCAATAAATCATATCAGAAAGACAGATAAATAAATCACTTTTTATCTTCACCTCTGCATGATTCAAACTGTAGAAAGTCTTTGAAACTCCAGTAAACGCGAAATTGGACGAACAGTGCTAGTCCTTTCGCTCTATTCCCGCCAAATATATCACAAACACCTAGGTATATCAAAACATCAACGATTTTAGCTTCAGGAGAGCAGGTATTGTGATAGGTCATCTACCCTTCCTACATATTATTTTGAACTTATACTATTGATTCATTACCTTCAGTCCTGGCAGTCCTGGTCGTCCAGGAGGTCCAGGCTTGCCAGCTTCGCCTACAGGTCCTGGAGATCCTGGCTGGCCAGGGATTCCAGCCATACCTCTGTCACCAATTGGTCCATCTATTCCTTGCCTTCCTACGCTCCCAATCTTGCCTGCTTCGTCTAATAGAGGATCGAAGACACCTGTAGAAAAAATAGAATTATCATATAGTGCAGAAGTAGATGCATCAGAAGTGGATGCAGTCAAAATGATTGTGAGGATTGTAAACTTTTTGTGATGCTCAAAGAAGTATTTGCATTATATTTATGTTTCACAATATGAGCTCGTTTTCAACATTGATAAAGTTATTTTTTCATGATGTAAGTGTAAAGCGATTTCATGTGAGTAGTTGTAATATTCATAACGAAATCATCGCATAGAAGAAGAAGCATTAACATTTTGTATATCAAAATATGGAGCTGACAGTTCAAGACGACATCAAAATTTTTTATAATATATAAAACAGACGGCATACATATATGTATGTAAAGGCGAGAAAATTCCTTCGCGCAAAAATATTTGGGAAAGAATATGTATACAGTGTGAGTCATGACTAACCAGCCATAGCTTAATGGCAGATAAAGGATGTTGGTGTATTGGAAAAAATATATTCTGACTATTCCTAACAGAAATACAGGGCATTATTTGAAATCGAGGCGACATTTTGATAAACGATATTTCAGGAATGTCTCGACGTTATCGCCTGAAATTCACCAGCAACTGACATACCACTCGATGGCCTACTATGAAAAAAAAAGCCAGAGCCGGACTTGAAGAACATATTTTCTTATTTTTAAATGTCAAAATTCCGACTCTCTAAATCGTATTTTTCAAAAACTTTCATCAGAATCAGAAAGATCAGGAAAAATACTACCAGTGTAGCTTTTCAATTTGTACGGCTCACTTCTACCGGATTGGTGGAAAAATATCGAACAAAATTGTGACAGTGGGCTAAGCCATGCAGCGCACGACGTGGCAGAACGCACAAGCGGGCCAAGAGAAACATGAGAAGTGTCAACGTCAAAAAGCGAGGTAGAAGTTGGCACAGGCAATAGACAGCCAGTCTCGATCAGCCTCCTACAGAGCACGGCATGTCTTCGTGTAAATGAATGTCTTGTGATGTCCGTCCGAGTCGTAGAATGAAAGACTATGAGAGTGTGAACGATGTTTTATTAGCCAGTGCAGTTATCACAAAAATACTGATGAACGATTCCATGATTGCGCACGAGTTGCAAGTGGCTCTAATCGATGAAAAAATCCAGGACCAGACTTACTTTTCTTGAAGAGACCTTTCAAAACATGGAAATAAGTACCTTATTAAAAAAATGCAATACCTTCCTCCTCTCCCTATGCTCCCTAGGTACACACGATGTTCTTCGAACATTATAGAATTTTTTTTCCGTGCGCTCCAAGAGATAAAAAATTCTGAATATTATTGCATAGGTGAAATAGCTTATCAGAATGAGATATACGTGCCAACTCATACAAATTAAAAATTCTCTCTCAATCAGCGAATCAAATTGTGAGTTTGATATGTTTTCATTTTTCAGAAAACACTACAAAAAAGGCTTTGATGCAAGGATGTATGAAAATGGATTGATTATTATCTCTCAACAGGATGGGGCACCTCCACATTACTGAAAGCATGTGAGAGAATACCTAGACAAACAATTCTCTAATCGCCGGATAGGTCGTGGCAGCCCTCATTCTTGGCCACCTAGGTCCCCTAATCTCACAGTATCAGACTATTATCTATGGAGACATAGAAACGATTGGTCTATCAAACTGAAATCAACACCAGAGAGGAACTGAGAGAGAGGATTGTTACAGCTCCAGATATGATCAGAACTGATTGGCAAACTATTCGAAAAACCATAAGAGATCTTCCGAATGTATACAGAAATTGTATAAAAATTTCATCAGGGAGGACATTTTCAGACTCTGAGTTAAAAAATATCAGGATACAGACAAATCTTTTTCGAAAATTATGATTTGTAATTCTCTCCAAAAACCAAATCCGATATCCTGAATGTTTTTAAATAATATCTTTTCTCAACTCTGCTGCTATATCATATGCAAAAAAACTGATTTGAATACTGTTAGTCGAATGTAGTGAGTAATGACCTGGACAGAATCGAAGAAATATTCATCTGAAATTTGTTTTATAATTTTTCACCAATCCGGTCGAAGTGTGCCGTACAAATCGAAAAGTTACAATTGTAGTGCTTTTCCTGATCTTTCTGATTCTGATGAAAGTTTTTGAAGAATACGATTCCTAAAGTCGAAATTTTGACATTTGAAAAAAAAAGAGTTTTCCAAGTCCAGCTCTGGAATTTTCATAATAGGTCATCATTAGGGGTGTCAGTAGAGATGAATTGATGGTGAATTTCAAGCGAAAACATCGAGACATTCCTGAAATATCGTTCATCAAAGTTTCGCCCTAAATTCAAATAAGGGCATTATTTGTCTTTCTGTTACGAATAGACAGAATTTATTTTCTCACATATATATCGACTCACCTTGACTTCCTCTTTCCGCCATTGGGATATGACTGGTTAGTCATGACTCACCCTGTATATTGATTTGTAATGTCGCGAAAATGTATTTATTTTCTTATACATGATTCGTTGGAGTATCATAATGGAAGATGATACAATACTTTCAATGCCTTCTTATATAGAACAGAAATTTTGTCGAAACCATTTTTGGAACAAGATCCCCAAATATTTATGAGATAGTTAATTCGACTGAGTATATGTGAATGGAGGATGATATTTGATGTGTATGTACATGTATGTACTATGTTTAGGACATCTTCTTGAAGCACCAATAATTGGAGATACTTGTCCTATGAGGATGTCAATATGCTTTTCCCATGTTAATTTCTCATCAATCCAAATACCAAGGTATTTGTTGAGATGAGAGTTTGTTTCAAACGTCCATTTTTTATTCTAATATTAGGTTCAATATTTTGTTTATTTCTTTGAGTCTTACTAGGATTAAGGGAATAAAGCAATTTCTCAAGTTTTTTCATGTCCTCATTTATGATATGTTCTAGAACTACTGGGTTTTTATTCTCATATAGAAGCACTGTATCGTCTGCATATATGGTATAGTTTTCTATCAAATTAATTCTTTCAAAATTTTGAATGTATAATGGATAAAGAATTGGACCCAATACTGATCCTTGAGGAACCCCTTTGTTGAAATATAGTAGGTATCTTAGACTCACAGTTATTAATTCTAGTTCAAATAGTTCTATTTTCCAGATAATTATGATTTCAAGATATCGTGTCCAATTCCTCTGATTCCCATTGAAGCAAGGTTTTTCAGAAGTATATTGTGGTCAACTGTATCAAAAGCCTTTTTTAGATCCATGAAAATTGCTACTACATAATTTCCTTTGTCAAGTCTGTCCTGAATGAAATTGATTACTTGTAGCACGATTGTGTACCACTGTTTTCTTTCTTAATTGATAAAATTCACAATTCGGTTTCTCATTGTGCTTCTTTATAAATCGACCTACCAGGTGGACCTTCTCGACCTTGAGGTCCAGGGGTTCCCGGCCGGCCCGGCTCCCCGGATTCCCCTGCCAGGCCGTCCAGGCCATCCGTTCCGGCAAAGCCAGGGGCGCCCTTGTCTCCTTTTTCGCCGCTTGGGCCCAACGGGCCCGGCCGGCCCTGCTTTCCGAAGTGGCCGTCTTCGCCCGTGTCTCCTCGGTAGCCTTGTTCACCTTTTCGGCCGGGTATGCCCTGTAAAGCAAGATTTTCGATTGTTTTCTTTGGTGATTTGCGGGTCCATATACATCATCAGAACGTATCGACACAGACCGTCGATTAGTAGGAATTTATTCGACTAGAATAGTAAGAAATCAGGAAAGCAAATCATCAGAATCATATTTCAGCGACTGCAATATATAATATGATTCTGATGGAATACGGTCTGTTGTATTACGAGTCTGTCGATGTGTATGTAGCATATTACGATTCATTCAATTTACAGTTCTGATATTTTGTGATTCTGCAAATGTGCTGTTCTGATTTTTTGCTATTCTGTCAATGTACGGATCTGACATTTTACAATTCTGTCGATGAACGGTTTGTTGTATTTCGATTCTGACAAAGTACGGTCTGCTAATTTGCGGTCTGTCATTTTGCGATTCTGACGAATTACGGTCTGTGTTGTTATGGTTCTGACGAAATATCGTTCCGCTGTGAAGTTGGTTTGTTAGTTTCCTATTCTGTAGATTTGCGGATCTGCGATATTGATTTCATAGAAAAATACACATCTGCGCATTTGCAATCTGTTATGTACAGTATACAAAATACGGTTTGAGGGATTGCGGTTCTGTGCATCTGAAGTAAAGATAAATAAAATTCCTATAAATTATGCTTCTGTTGAATTACTGGTTTGAAAATGTATATTCTGATGGATTACGGTTCTGCGATTTTACATTCTGTTGATTTGGGTGTCCCCGCGATTTGCTATACAATTTAGACTTCAGACCAGCGTTGCCAACCTTTGCATTCACGATTATGGTATACCAATAACTTGAATTCATGGAGAAATAACTGAAGTTATGGTACGCGCAAGCGCGCAGTCAAGGCTATGGTGTTTGGCATTGGTAAAACTTAGGAACATTGCTCGTATTGACAATTGCCGATTTGCCAAATTCCAGTTAGCACAGATTGATTCCAGAGATATATGAGAGGGCATCACATTCATGCAACTCATCACAGCCGCCGTGACTCGACATGAGAGTCCCCTGAAATCACATTGACTGCTATGATTCACATTACGATGCCAAATGAAACTCACAGTAAGTAAGTGTGGATTTATGCAGCGTCATTTAACATGTATCATGTAACAGTTATCATTTTACCATTAACAATTATAAGTTGAATTTCATATTTTCCAATGACTGTGTTTATGCGGACATTTAACAAAACTTCTTACATTAAATGAACCAAATTATGTCGGATTGGTCCGCCCGGTAATGATATTAACCTAAAGCCTTTGGTTGTTAGGGAGCCTTACAAATCCACCTACATTATCTCAAATCCAATGAAATGTCACGAATATCGCAAATGTTTTGTAAAATGAAGAGCCCCCTGGCAATACCAATGATGTTTTCTTGAAATTGGCAATGTTACCTAGCGAGACATGAATGTGACATCTCAGGGATGTTTGTGTTTACGGGGATAGACCATTCTAGAACACGTGATTTCGACACGATTTCTTGGAGCTATCTGTTATGTGTACGAAAGCGTAGAAGTGCCATTTGATATATTTTTTTAATAATTGACAGATACTAAGTAAAAAGTAGCCTACTTGACAGATACTAAGTGGTAAACTAGTATACTTGACAGATACTTAAGTGTCAACTTGCCTAATTGACAGATACTAAGTGGTAAGTAGCCTACTTGACAGATACTAAGTGGTAACTAGTTTACTTGACAGATACTCATTAGTGTCAACTATCATAATTTACAGATACTAAGTGGTAAGTGGCCTACTTGACAATTCACAGGTACTTAGTGGTATCTAGCCTACATGACAGATACTAAGTGGTAACTAGTATACTTGACAGATACTTTAGTGTCAACTGAGATGTGTCAACAGGCATAATTGACAGATAGGCCAAGAAACTCGCCATCGGCGCCATCGCCAAGAAACAAAGACGTAGAAGAAGTGGCATGGTGAGCTGGTGAAGCGGCTGATAATAAAAGTATCAATACTAAAGTTATTATTTGTTGTGTAATCAAATATATACTATTTATCTGTCAAGTAGACTAGTTACCACTTACTTTCTGTCAAGTAAGCTACTTATCACTTAGTATCTGTCACTTAGGATAGTTGAAACTTAATTATCTGTAAGTATACTAGTTAACACTTAGTATCTGTCAAGTATGCTACTCACCACTTAGTATCTGTCAAATAGGCTAGTTGACAGTTAGTATCTGTCAATTATGAAAAAATATATATCATGTAGCCTTTGATGAGCATTATATCCTTGCCCACACCCAGGATACAATATCACAATATCAGAATCACCTCACAAAATCATGAAATTAATTTGGGTGCCAACTCGGGTGCCAAGGAAAATGATCCAAATACTTTCTGGTCTCATATAAAAAATACAATGTTTGGCCTCCAACCACCTGTCTAATGACGTAATTCTGGAGTGATCTATTGATTCAGCAAAAAATTTCGAAGCTTGAGTCGAGCTATTGTATTAACATCACAGGTGAGATGACAGATGAATCATAGGTCACAGGTAACATTGTGGTAAGCCTACTTGAAATGTCAAATGTATTACAGATTCGTGAAGTATACTCCCTGTGAAAAACTTTTTTTTTCATCAACTGTGAAATCAGCAGAGTATCACCGAAAATATGGATTGGCGAAAATGAATAGCACATGCTCATTGCTCCTCATGCGTAAATTATGGTAGGTACAGAAGGCGTAGCAGTATTTGTTTATCGATATTTGTTGATGGCGTTCGATAGTTTTTTAATAATCTCTGATTCATTTCACTGTCATATAAAAACTGATTACTTACTGCGAGTCCTCTGTCCCCAATGTAACCTTTTTGTCCGATCTCTCCTCTCAGCCCTTTGTCACCGTCATCTCCAGGTTTCCCCTTGAGATTCAGGTAAGTCGGGTAGACGACCAGAGTATCGTTCGCAAATCCCTCCCCCTTCTCTCCTTTCGGCCCCTGCAATCCTTGTTCGCCAGGGGATCCTGCCGGTCCCCATCTGTCCTCACCCATGTCTCCAGGTGGCCCTCTAACGCCGGCCTCTCCAACTATTCCACTTATTCCAGGAGGCCCCATATACCTGATGTGAACGAGAATTTTAGAGACTATCATAAGAAATAATATTATCACGATGTTGTGAATATTCGAGATAATTCTGTCGCTCCAGGTAATGATGGAATTACAAACAGAATATTGAAAAGGATTCCTGGTAATTTCATCACATATTTATGTAAAATCATCAACGCCATATTGAAACTATCTTATTTTCCTCAAAGATGGAAACATGCCGAAGTAGTGATGCTTAAGAAGCTGGGCCAGGAATATCGTCCTATCAGTCTCCTGTGCTCTCCATCTGAGATATCTGAGCGAGTGATTAAACAGAGGTTACAGGAATTTACCGACGACAACGAGCTGATACCAGATGAGCAGTTCGGTTTCATAACTGGCCACTCAACTGAACTACAAGTCTTGAGACTCATTGAGAACACAATATCGTTGAGAAATGATAGACAAAAGACCCATCTTGCTCTCCTTGACATAGCGAAAGCATTTGACAAGGTGTGGCATGATGGTATCTTGTACAGAATGATCGATATGAGCTTTCCTGACGATTTGATTCAGTTGATGTGTCCATTTCTGAAAAATCGAACTTTTCAAGTGAAACTTGATGATCAACGATCTGGTATCAAGCCCATTGAAGCTGGTGTTCCTCATGGTGCAGTTTTATCGCTGCTGTTGTACAGTTTATATACTAGCGATTTGCTGAGACCAGTGAAGCAGCTATGAACTTCCAAAGCGAGCTGAATTATCTTCAGGAGTACTTCCTAAGATGGAAGATTGAATTCAATCCTGCAAAAACACATTTGATCGCACTCGGAAGGGAGCGGAGGCATCCCAGAACCAGAATAGTCCTGGATAATCATGAGTTAGAGTGGTCTCCACAAGTTGAATAATTAGGTGTGTGCATTGACAAAAAGCTCACCTGGGCCCAGCACATTGAACAGCAAGTTTCAAAAGCTAAACTAGCCATTGGAGCCCTGTATCCATTTCTGAAGAGACGAAGTAAATTGGGTATGAGACCAAAATTGAATATTTACATAATGGCTATCAGGCCAATTCAACTGTATGCTTCGGTAGTCTGGGGCCACACAGCTAAATCTCATATCACTAGATTACAAACATTACAATCAAAATCGCGAGAATGGTGACAGGATCTCCTTGGTATGTTCGAAATAACCAGATCGCCAGGGATCTGAAACTCCCTTCAATCGTGCCCGTCATTAGAGAACGAAACATTAAGAATTTCGAAGAAGCTGACGTTGAAATGCAGTTGATTATGACGCAGGTGATCAATCAAAGTTCAAAAGACGGAGATCGTACATAAACTAGAGAAAATATCAACTTAATAACCAAACTCACTATTCTCAAATACTTTATATTTATTTGTTCCGTTCGATCTTTTTCAATTCTCAGAATGTATTTCTGAAACTTATTTGGGGCAAAAGGGCTGTTCGCATCAAACTTCAATACCGTTTTCAAGAAAGATACAATATATCACGATGTTCTGAATATTCGAGATAATTTTGTCGCTTCCTCGTTCACGAAAATGTGTTGCCGAGCAACACCATACGATTCCGCCAGGACGACTGGTATTGCTGAACGGCAACACAGCTGCGTTTATAATTAAAGGCAGAATTATGAGAAGATATTCAGAACAGAGTGGTATTTTGCTAGACTATTTCACGTTCACGAAGCATAAACAGCATTTATTATAAATGAGTGATTTATTCTGACAAGTACAGCCATACTTATTTCATATCAAACTGACAAACTCTGCTTCGCTGTCCATGGTTACATCGTTGAAAACATCAACGCTGATAGACCAATCAGGATTGAAAGACAGCTAATGTTTTTACGATAAGCACACGTTGTCTCTGGCTTGTGATTATGGTCAGATTATGTGATGAATCAAAGGTAATAAATACCACGAGCCCTTCAAATATTATCGATATATTTTTTCAATATTCTGAAAGACGTTTTTATTTTAATTTTTTTCAATATCTCTTGGAGCGCACGAAAAGAAATTCCTATAATGTTTGTGGAACATCGTGCGTACACACAAAGGATAGGGAGAGAAGGTGTTGGAAGTTCTTGGGAAATTGAAATTTCACTTTTGAGTCGATAAAGAATCAATAATTATCCTTTTTCCTAAATGAATAATTATATTTAATGAAATTCACTCTCAAATAAAATCAAAGAAGAAGAAGAAAATATTCCAAATAATGCGAGCGCTTCCCATTAGCCAACATGAGATAGATAGAGATAGGTATCCGTAAACACTGCGGGTTGCCTGAACAATCTTTTTGCCTCACTCGTTGTTCACAGATGAGGAGGAGTTTATTGGTTACCAAGGATCAAAACAGAAATTAAAATCCTGGAGACAACTTTGTGCTTTGATATTTGATAAGAAAGGACCCCGCACCGCTCTTATAGGTTTTTGGGTCCCGGTCAAATCGGCTGGAATTATAGTATGTTGTAGTTTGTGCTGATATCCAGGTCAAAAGACCTCGGTCATGTTAGCTCCCGGCCGGCCAGCTCCAAGCGGCTCTTTTCCACCACCGGTCAATTTTCGTTTTCGCATTGCTCTTCGATCGTTTCGTACGCCGATCATACTACTTCCTCTACTTATCGATAACATCCACGGATACGATGCATATTGATAATCTTTGTGTTATTCCAAGTAGATACACTGTGCTCTTCGTTATTCTGAGGGGCCAGCGCGAACTATGAAAGTGTACGATTTTACGTTATTCGATTGAATATCCAGATTCTTCATCCACCACAAGAAATTATCAGCCGAGAAAAACAATCAATAGAAATCTCAGAGAGGTACATGATCAATACAAAGGATTTTTTTCGTTTCATCATGTCAACCCCAAAAAGGCCAGCCCCAAAGGTAGAATTGTTCGATTTCGAGCTATTCGATATTGAATCCTGAATTTTTTTCTACTATAAGAAATGACCGGCCAAGAGAATTGATTGATGGGAATAAAAAAGAGGTACATGTTCAATACACAGGATTTTTTTCGTTTCATTAGGTCAACCCCAAAGAGCCGGCTCCGAGGGTAGAATTGTCCGATGGATATGGATTCCTGAATTTTTTTCTACCATAAGGAAGGACCAGCCAGGAAAATCGATTGATGGAAATCATAGAGGGGTACATGAACAATACACAGGATTTTTTTCTTTTCATTTTGTCAACCCCAAAAGGCCAGCCCCAAAGGTAGAATTGTTCGATGTCGAGCTATTCGATATTGAATCCTGAATTTTTTTCTACTATAAGAAATGACCGGCCAAGGGAATTGATCGATGGAAATTAAAAAGAGGTACATGTTCAAAACACAGGATTTTTTTCGTTCCATTAGGTCAACCCCAAAGAGCCGGCTCCCAGGGTAGAATTGTCCGATGGATATGAATTCCTGAATTTTTTTCTACCATAAGGAAGGACCGGCCAAAAAAATCGATTGATGGAAATCGTGAAGAAGTACATGTTCAATACACAGGATTTTTTTCTGTTGAATATGTCAACCCCAAAAGGCCAACTCCAAGGAAAGAATTGTTCGATCTGAAGCTATTTGATATGGATTCCTGAATTTTCTTCTAACATAAGAAATCCTGTGTATTGAACATGTACCCCTTTATGGTTTCCATCAATCGATTTTCTTTGCCGGTCATTTCTTATGGTAGAAAAAAAATCAGGAATTCATATCGAATAGCTTGACATCGAACAATTCTACTCTTGGAGCTGACCCTTTGGGGTTGACCTGATGAAACGAAAAAATTCTGTGCATTGAATATGTACCCCTTTACGATTTCCATCAATCGATTTTCTCGGCCGGTCGTTTCTTATGGTAGAAAAAAATTTAGGAATCAATATCGAATAGCACGACATCGAACAATTCTATCCTTGAAGCCAGCCCTCTGAGGTCGACAATATGAAAAAAATCTTGTGTATTGAACATGTACCTCTGTACGATTTCCATCAATCGATTTCCTTGGCGGGTCATTTCTTATGGTAGAAAAAATTTAGGAATCCATATCGAATAGCTCGACATCGGACAATCCTACTCTTGGAGCCAGCCCTTTGGGGTTGACCTAATGAAACGAAAAAAATTCTGTGTATTGAACATGTACCCCTCTACGATTTCCATCAATCGATTTCCTCGGCCGAGCATTTCTTATGGTAGAAAAAAATTCAGGAATTCATATCGAAAAGCTCAACGTCGAACATTCTCCCCTTGGTGCTGTCCCTCTAGGGTTGACCTAGTGAAACGAAAAAAATCCATTATATTGAACATATATCCCTCTACGATTTCCATCAATCGATTTTTTTGGCCGGTCATTTTTTATGGTAGAGAAAAAATCAGGATTCAATATCGAATAGCTCGACATCGAACAATTCTACCCTTGGAGCTGGCCTTTTGAGGTTGACCTAATAAAACGAAAATAATTCTGTATATTGAACATGTACCCCTCTACAATTTCAATCGATCGATTTTCTTGGCCAGTCATTTCTTATGGTTGATAAAAATTCAGGAATCCATATCGAATTGCTCGACATCGGACAATTCTACCCTTGGAGCTGGCCTTTTGAGGTTGACCTAATGAAACGAAAAAAATCTTGTGTATTGAACATGTACCCCTTTACGATTTCCATCAATCGATTTCCTTGGCCGGTCATTTCTTATGTTAGAAAAAAATTCAGGAATCAGAATCGAATAGCACGACATCGAACAATTCTACCCTTAGAGCTGGCCTTTTGAGGTTGACATGATGAAACGAAAAAAATCCTTCGTATTGATCATGTACCCCTCTGAGATTTCTATTGATTGTTTTTCTCGGCTGATAATTTCTTGTGATGGACGAAAAATCTAGAAATTCAATCGAATAACGTGAAATCGTACACTTTTATCGTTCGCGCTAGCCCCTCAGAATAACGGTGAGCACAGTGTATCTACATCTTTTTTCACTCGGAATAATACACAAAGATTATCAATATGCATCGTATCCGTGGATGTTATCGATAAGTAGAGGAAGTAGTAATGATCGGTGTACGAAACGATCTAAGAGCGATGCGAAAACGAAAATTGACCGGTGGTGGAAAAGTGCCGCTCGGAGCTGGCCGGCCGGGAGCTAACATGACCGAGGTGATCAAAAGCTCTCATGGGCCCAACTCAATTCTATAACTACTTTTAGAGCCTTTAAGGGTGGTAGAACAGACATATTTTTCTGAGTGAATTTGTGCCCTATGAGCTTCAAAAAACGACTTGTTGATAGAATTTCAACCTTAATATTAAGTTTGTTCGAAGAATAACTCGAACAACTGAAATATTGATAACAGGGTGATGCATAATATCTTGACAATTAATTATGTTTTGTAATAATCCTGAATTTTCGCATATCAAATAGGCAAAACACACTATCCCTGTTGAGAACTGAAGTTTAGCAATAAATGGAGAAATCGAGTATTCAGGGCGGTATCGTACAGAGACGTAAGCGTTACTTCCATGGAACTCAATTAATAATTTGACTATATGAGCGAGGCTATGTGCTATTTTGTATGATGCAACACTTGATATTTCAAGTTTGATTCATCAATTCCTTTCTCGTCTTACTTGAACAGACATTCTTCAGATATTACTTTCGTCTTATCTTATATTTTATTAGTATTTTTATTGAGCTACAACCCATCAAATGTATCATTTCTTATGAGTAGTAAAGGGCAGATATTTTTTGAATTAGTTGAAGTCCAAAATGCAAGCTCCAGTTCATTTGGTACGTACCTACTCCAAATAATTGAAATGTCGTTTACAGGATGCCACTAAAAATCTTGACAATAATTCATTCAATTTGAAGAAAGTTGATGAAACTTATATTAATCAGTTTATTGAACAAAATACATGAAGCTATTTGAATGAGTAATGCTATAATTCAGTGGGATTGTTTTGATGTGGCCTATTCGCAGTGTCTAGTACCATAGATTCTAGTACAGAGTTTATTAAGCGAGTCGAGGGATAATGAATATTGGGCTGTAAGGAAGATTTAGGCTGTTTAGTTACAACTCATTCAAAAATATTATTGCAACGCGACCTAAAAAGTTAGATTCAGAATAACTTCTCAAGTTTTTCGTAATGATGTTATTATTAGCGATCTTCTGAAGTGAACACCTTGTGGGACAATTCTGGGTATAAGATGAAAAATGAATTGATAAATCAATCTTGAAGTCGTAAGTTTTGCATTTAATTTAGTAAGATCAGTTGAGATATATGAAATTCAAGTAACTGATACGTCTGTGCAATACCGCCCTGTATACTCGATTTCTTCATTTATTGCTGAATCTCAATTCTCCACACGGATAGTGTAGATTATTACAAATCATAATTAATTGTCAAAATATTAGGCATCACCCTGTTATCAATATTTCAGTTGTTCGAATTATTCTTCAAATAAACTTATTAGTGAGGTTGAAATTCTTTGAACAAGTCGTTTTTTGAAGCTCATAGGGCACAAATTCACTTAGAAAAATATGTCTGTTCTACCATAGGCACCCTTAAAGGCACACAATTCAACATTTGAATCGCTGCTGCTCGAAAACTAGTCATAGGATTGAGTTGTGCCCATGAGAGATTTTGATCAGGATATCACAAACTAGAGTCACTGGATGGTATTAGTTTGATAAGAGTTCGGACACAGAAATGACAACGGTTAGGGTTTTTGAATGTTTAGATTTATAAAGTTACACACCTTGCATTGTGACAAGAGCACCATAGTCGTCCCGCGCTTTTTCATTCAAAAATTCTTTGAATTTGACAATTAATTTCATGAACGTTAGAATTGAAATAAAATTTCATAATTATTATACTTTCGAGATGAAAGCAGCTATGGAAATCACTTGCTGTGTAATAAATTGTGCCAATTCTGAAACAAATGGATATCATATTTATTCGATTTTCCGAATCAAGTATAATATATCCAGCATTGGCTTATGGAAGGAAGATATGAAACGGCCTGGGTGGAAAATCAATTTGAAGACGAGCGAAATTTGCGAGGTACTCATTGAAATTCACTTCTTATAACATCATCTGATTAGAATGAATCTATATTCTAGGCCCATTTTCAAACAGAAGATTTCAAAATCTGATTGAGAGAATCTGCTGTTCCATCAATTTACAAAGCAGACGATTTCAAGAACAAAATTCCATTATTATCATCACACAAAATACAAAACAAAATAATCATGGAAAAAGGGGAAATGATCGCAAAATTACATTATGAAATTGAAAATTTGAAAACGAAACTAAGAAAAGCAAGTAAACTACAACGTGATATATTATTGAATGGCGTTTTTGGTGCTGACCGAATTCAACATTCAACAGTGAAAAGTAAATAGATATTTATGTATCAAGGGAATTATTATAAGGGCCTTAATTACGCTGGAGGTATCGTTTTGGAGATATTTTCTATATTGATCCATGTTACTTAGCTCCTAGGGCGCTAAGTGAAGTTGCTGAGAACTTTACAAAACCAAGTATTTGGTAGGTCTCGTCAAAATAAATTACCTTTTTCCTATGAAATCTTTATCAAAAAATGATTTGTTCTCTGTATTTCAACACCCTGTATCTCCGAAATGAAGCATTTCCGGACACAAGCTTATATGGACTTAATTTCTTAAAATTGTCTCAGGAATACTTCACTGGAGTACAGTTTCACATACAATAAGGAATTATAGCTTTAAGTTTATCCATAGGTATGTATATATTCTCTGATATTAAAATGTTGTTACATGCATTTTTTTCATTTTTATATAATAGTTGCTCTTCTAGAAGTGTATCACTATGAATTGAAGTGGGTGTTTGTACCCTATATCCATTGTCCATCTACGGCTATGATTGATTTGACAGAAAATATAACCTCTAAAATCGTATCTGACAATCAGGCGCTACTAGGGAAATTGAATAGAAAATAGAAAAGGACAAAAGTTCAGTTGTGCCCGAACTCTTATCAAACTAATACCATCCAGTGACTCTATCACAAACTACAACATACTATAATTCTAGCCGATTTGACCGTACCCAAAAACCCATCAGAGCGGTGCGGGGTCCTTTGTTAGCAGCAGTAAATGATGGCGAGAGCTGGCCGGGCAGCTCATACATAGAGTCACTGGATGGTATTAGTTACTCATACATACCCATCGGGTCCTGTAGGTCCTTGAACCCCAGGCTGCCCCTTGGGTCCGTCGTACCCGAACTCCCCCATCTCGCCCTTGACGCGCCTGGAGTTGCCGCCACCGTCGCCGGGTTCCCCCCTGAATCCCTGGGGACCCTCCGGGCCCGGAGGACCCCGGATTCCCGGGCGACCGGGCATGCCTTGGACTCCGTGGGAGCCATCCGTTCCGTTGCAACCGTCTAGGCCAGCTGGTCCTCTCTGACCTGACTCTCCCGTTTCCCCCTGATTGATAAATATAGGATTCATGATTTTGAATTGACTTGGCTGTTACTTGATGGAAATCCATGGCAAATGTAAAAACTTCACAAACGATAAGATTTCCACGAAATTCTCGAACACACGACATGTTTCGCTAACACAGTAGCTTCGTCAGTTGATATACTGGTACGATTAACTAAACTAACATTGGATTGCTTATACAGTGTCATTCATAAAGTCGGCATCATATGGGAAAAACTTTTATTAATGACTTATTTTGAAATTAGAGTTGGACGTCAAGTTTTGCTTCAGAAAAGATGGAAAATGGCCTACTCAATCGGGGTCACGTGACTTTCGCTACATGTCAAAAGGCACATTTTTTCAAATTAATCGCTGAAAGTAGGCTTATTTGTTCGAATATCGAAAAAGTTTACTTTAAAAAGCTGTTTCTATTTGAATTCTACATATGTGACTCGAATTTTATCTTTCTATAACATTTTTTAGATTTCGATATTTTTTAAAAATTTTCGAAATTTCTGTAATATTAAAAAAATTGTAAATTCGATTAACTACTTCATACCAGTAGCTTCATCATGTTACTCATTTTCAATTACTAATTATCACTAATTATCGACCAAAATATGATTTTCTTCAGAAAATGATAATCTCCTCTTCAAAATTCTGTTATGTTTGATCCAAACATAACATCAAAATTCTTACGTTTGAGTCAAGCATTTAGAAACGAAATTCATTTAAATTTATTTCTTCAGCACTGAAAAGTTCAGTTTGAATTAATTTCGTTTCTAAATGATTGAGGATATATCATCTTCGCATCAAAGATAACAGAATTTGGAAGCGGGTATTATCATTTTCTGAAGAAAATCATATTTCAGTCCATAATCAGTGATAATAAGTAATTGAAAGTAAGTAGCATGAAAAAGCTACTGGTATGAAGTAGTTTCGTGGAATTAACAATTCTTCAAATATTACAGAAATTTCGAAAAATTAAAAAAAAAATCAAAATCTAAAAGTTGCAATAGAAAGATCAAATTCGAGAAGCATGTGTAAAATTGGAATAGAAACAACTTTTTCAAGTAAACTTTTTCGATATTCGAACAAATAAGCCGACTTTCAGCGATTAATTTGAAAAAATGTCACTTTTGACATGTAGCGAAAGTCACGTGACCCCGATTGAGTAGGCCATTTTTCATATTTTTTGAAGCAAAACTCAACGTCTAACTCGAATTCCAAAATGAGTCAATAATAAAAGTCTTTCCCGACTTTATGAATGACACTGTATATCCAACATTCCCAACCTGAAGGACTAGTATAGTAATAGTAATATTTATTTAAATAGGAAATCCTAATTTACAAATAAAAATGATAATAGTAATAGGTACATAAAAAAATGGATTTTGAACACCCTATGTCTCTGTAATCATTCCCGCTAGACCCCAAGTGTGCTATATTGATGAAATCAGCTCTTCAGGAAGAATCTAAAAATACAATGAAATACAGGGTGTTCCATTTGAAAAAATCAAGTAGTACTCTATAGATGGGTTGTTCCGAAAACCCTGTATTTTCTGATGCAACGGGAAAAAAATTCCTGAAAAATCATTTCAGATTATTTTTCAAATTTTTAAATCGGTTCAAGAATAAGTAAGCAAGAGGGGGGGACATTTATGGTGAATCACCCTGTACAATGAATATTTCATATAATATAATGAATATCTAATTAGTTACCTGTGGACAGGTTCAATAAACCTCTATTTTCGTAAATTAGGCACAATATCTACATCAAAATACGGTGTACCAGATTAACTTTGAAGGGTTGATATCAAATACATATCATTACTTAGTAAGAAAACAAATTCAACAATGGTGAACTATTGAGGTCTAATTGATCGTTAAGTAAAATGTCAGAATATTTGAGTTTGTTGATTTCTAATGATTCAAAATGATTGAGTTTCATTCCTTTATTTTCTACGTGTCGAATTTCGCAATTATTAACAAAACTATGGTTTTCTTCTCATATATGGTTGGCGTATGTTGAATTTGCCTTCTTTTTCAAAAAATTCATCTAATGTTCATGAATGCATTGATTAAACGTACGACCTGTCTGACCGATATATACCTTTTAGGACAAGATCCACAGTTGAGTTTGTATACCCCTGATTTTTCGAATTCAAAAGTTTTGTCTTAATTATTCTTGACTCATGAGTGCTACATCGTAGTTTTCTGGGTATCAAACTATTGGAGGTTTCACCGAACACTTTTGCTGTAAGACTGTCAAAGGAGTATTCGGTGTCGAAATTGGAAACAAAATATTCTGATCAATCATCCATTAATTGATGGATAGAAGAATTGATATATGTGAAAACTCCACAAACGATGAGATTTCCACAAAATCAGGTGAAATATTGGTACAATGATTGTTAGCGAAATATGTCGTGTGATTAAGAGTTTTGTGTTATGGATTTCCATCAAGTAACGGCCGATTCAATTCAAGAATTGATATATTATTTTATATAATATTCAGAAGTTTCTGTAGTCCATCGGATCCTTCAGAAATTTATCGTTACTTCTAGAAGTATGGATTGTCGATTATGATTAGAAATTTCGTATTCCCTGGGATGCCGTCCTGCTTGATAGATGACTAATTTCTATAATATTTTCATTCCAATAACTCATTAGTACCTTAGGAATAACAGATAAGTCGAATACTTCGAAATCCTTGGCTAACTCCTAGGCAGGGTAAGAGTATAACATATGAGTCGAAAAATAAATCGGAGAAATGGCTTCCGCAATCAAAACCCAGAAGGGTTTTCTAAATTTTGAAATCTTTATCCAACTCCAAGTTGAAAATTTTGTTGCTGGTCAATTTCGAGTTGTGACTGAAGAAATATGCTCAATACTATGATGATTCTCATTGAGTTAATTTGAATACTTTTTTTTTTAATTTTTTTCTACTATAGTGACAGTGATTTGACAAACTTATTCCCTAACAGGAAAACCTGACCAAACAATTTCGCTATCTTCGCATTTATATAGGTATATACCTTTAGTTCCATCAAAAGTTGATATACTTACAGCTCGTCCTGCGAGACCGCCCATTCCTCGGTACCCTTCATCTCCCTGGAAACAAAGTTATTCACAATATAATTGCTAATTGTCATTCTAATCATCAATTCCAAACCTCTTGACGGATGAATTCTGTCTTTCATGAAATATTTATTTGTTTTACTAGGCAATCAAGTAGTATTCAAACAAGGCAGTCAATCTACATTTTCTGTCGTGTGAAACATATATTTTTTTGTTGAACGTTGCTGCATAGCAACAAACTTCTCCTGCCCATGCAGAGAAAGTACAACTTTCCTGACTGTTAGGTGTCAGAGAAACGCCACTTTCCCTGCCGCTTGGAGAAGAATAAACATGCAATGAGTTCTAGATAAAAAATATTTTAAGAAGAAATGATTAGAGATTTTTGCATAAGACAGCCACAACTGCATGAGCCTGACACCTAACGATATACAGGCATACTATCTACATACTAGGTAAGGTCATACTCACTCTCGGTCCCTTATCACCACCAGCCCCATATTCTCCGTCGGCCCCTTTTTCCCCCTTTGGTCCTGGAGGTCCCGGCAGTCCTATGTCTCCATAGTCACCTGGTCGAGCTGGCATGCCCCGAATCCCTTCCCCACCTGGCCGTCCCTTCAACCCTCTGCAGTCGCATTTGTAAGTACCGTTCAGGGCACCCGGACACCCTGTGCATTCCTGGAACGAAAATGAGGAGAATTATGTTTTTGGCAAGATATCACGATCTCTACACGTGTTGAATTGAGTTCAGTCAAGTTTGCAACGGAATTTCAGGCAAGGATACAGGTATTGAAAGTGAATATTCTCAGATATACTATTCGTTCAGTCATTGGGGATCAAAAATAGAGCTCACCTGTGCCTTAATGGTTTACTTTAGCGAAAATATACTATAGGAACTCATTTTATAGGGAATCTCCTCTAGTCAGCAAGCTTTGAATATAACGAGAAACCAATTGAATAGCCCGTTTTATCAGGAAAGATAAATTTATACGCATATATGGAGATAGTTTGGGGCAGTTCATAAAATGCCCAAACCTATAAACCTACAAAGTTTCAGAACTTCCGGACTTATTTCCAGGTGAAAATCCCCAATGACTGGCCTATATCTTTCGCTGACCAGAAGGAATTGCTCAGACACACCCACTTTCCCGACTGTCTGGAGGTTCTTGGTGAGAAAACACCTTCAGTTGAGACAGACAATCCACTTTTTTATCGCTTAATGGTCACACACGAGAAGGTCGTATGGGCGGGTCATCGAGTCTCTTCTACCCTAGGAATCGGCAGCAGAAGATGGTATCTTTCCTGCGATCTAGCTCTTTTTTAGAGATATTTTCATGGTTGATGCTGTTCTGAAATATCAACAATGGGGAAGACCACTGATTTTTTGAAACGACATCATCGTGAAATCTATACTGAAAAACTACCAGTGAATCAATTTTGAATATTTCATTCATGCTAAGACGATGAAAAAAATAAATTAGTATATGTCCATTTCAAAACACACAATTCCTGTGCCATTTTAAATTGCATCAATTCATTGGTGTGACTGGTGCGACGTCTTAGTCCCAACACGCCTATTGTCCTTGAACTGACCAATCACACTGCAACACTGCAGAATTACGAGGTATCAGAGAGAGATAGCTACAGTTCGGGACTAATACGTCACGACTCCACCAACATATTTGGCTGTTTGAAATACCGAATGAAATATGCTGATTTCAAAACAATATAGATCCGATTCCCTTCCACTTCAACTCATAATATTGATTGTACATAAAATGTAAATCATGATTCGTCGATTGAAAGAGGTTTGCACGGATTTCTTTCCTCAGTGGTCTTCCCCATTGTTCCTCCCTTGGCCGTATTCGCGAGATTAACCCGTCGAGTTGTGGCTTAGCACCCCTTCGTGGTCACTTTGAAGACCTGCACAACATCTCTTTCCAAAGACTCGTTCATCCAACGAACAGCGAGGCTCTGGAACATGCCAAGGGAGGTGTTCCCCGAGGCATAAAACCTCTAGAAATTTAAGAAGAACACCAATTCCTACCTTATTTCCCTTGGTTCTCACGATGTTCTCTGAACATTACAGGATATCCTTTTTCGTGGAAACCAGAACATAAAAAAAGAGCATCGACAAGAACTCTACCTACCTGATAAGGATTTACTGTGCCTGCTTTGCACTAGCTTACATCCCAGTATCCTGGAGAGTAGTGGAGAGTAGTGCAGGTGTTTATTCCTAAGTCAGACAGGTTTGACTACTCCCTAGCTATTTGCACAGGTCTTTGAGGATGACATCGCAGTTCTTGTTGAGGACCAGTTTGAGCACATGGTATATGACCTAGCTCAGCGAGCACTTAATCTTATATATCACTGGTGCGAAGAGCAAAACCTTGGTTCATCTATGCTTGGAGTTAACCCTGCGGAGACTGTAGTTTTTCCTTTCACCAGGACACGTACGGCTCGCTTCGTGGGGCTTTTGAGCATTGCCAGAGCCACCCTATATATCTAGGAGTCATCTTAGACACCAAACTACTATGGAGAGAACACTTGGAGATCTGCATAAAAAAGGCCACTGTAGCATTCTGAATATGCAGGCGAGCCTTCAGTACCACGTGGAAATGCAGGCTTGAAATGCTCTGTTGTCTACGATCAATACAGTAGACAGTCATGTGAGCGAACAAAGATTATCATGAAAACTTCTGATATTGATTCACTACATAACGATGAATTGGATGAAGTTCCTATATCTTCTAAGCCCTCAAGAGCAAGAAATGGACCAGGAAAAGTATCTTAAACCTGGACCTCCTAAGAGGTTTAAACAAAACTGAAATGTAGTCAATTTGAAATAATACAAAATGATATTATGCCTACTTTCATTCTTCATGTTTGTGTCTTTGTTTCTCATCAAATGACACCATTTTGTGACCAACTTAGAGAAAATTTTTTTTATCGATTGGAGCGCACGAAAGGGAATCCCTATAATGTTCAAAGAACATCGTGCGTTCCTAGGGAGGATAGGGACAGGAGGTAGGTATTGGAATTTTTTTTGAATTTTTGGAGATTATATGTTGTTGGGAATACTTCCACAGGCAATGAATTCCAGAGCCTAGCCGTTCTATGGATGAAGGAGTCTTGATAAAGTTGTATCTCGTGAACTATTGGGCCTACAGTAATCAGAAATGAATGAAATTGTTTTTTTGAGAAAGTACTCCTTCATGGTCAAAAATGGCGATATTTGTAAGAAGTGCAAATTTTTAGCCGTTTAAATGTTATATAGCGGTGATCCGGAATGTCGTCGAGGTCGAAAAATTGGATTTAGCATCTCTGTACTATCACTACTATCTTGAACAATATAATGAAAAGTTACCTACTACCCGAAACCATGTGAGGTAAATTGTTCTGGTTGACTCGATTACGAAGTATTCTGATCAGTTTTCGATGAAACATGCGAAAATTTTGATTCACTGCCAATTAGGGTTTCTTTGAGTAGGTTCTCTTTTGGAATGACATCATTGCTCTTGAATTTTCTTCAAAATTTTGAATAGAGAATTGTACTTTTCAAGATTAACATTGAAGTATATAGCTGTTTCCACCTATAAATGCTTGATATACTACGGCTCTTGTTTTTATTTTCAATTGAAAAGTCATTGAAAGTTTCTATCACAACACCGATAAAGATTTTGTGAATAGCCGGTTCGGTTTATTTCGCTTTGCAATTGTTGCAATAGCGTCCAAATGGACGAATATACACTAGATTATTCGAAAATATACAAAAGAAGTCGTTTTATATTTCCGGGACCATAAACTCATAAATAAATCTGAGCAATGAATTATTTCGGGAAACGATCGTTAAATTCAAAGTAAAACGGTGTGAAATCAGTTAGGTTTTGCTTATACATTTTATACTATGGCAATTATATAAAATGCAAAGGAATTGAGGATCCTTTTATGCGTCTCAATTATTTCAAGTGAAGTAGATAGACAATGGCACTGTCAGCAAAAATTCAAGGTGGACAGATCGAAGAAAATGGTTCCTTTCAAAAAACCATGCATCAGCGCATTCAAACCATCTCTTGTGTTCACGGCTATGTGTCTTTGGATTGAAAGTTAGGGAAGTATTCCCAAGAACTCAGTAAGTACCTCAGAAAGTTGAGAAAGAATCTAATACCTTATTTCTCTTCATGTTCTTCCTTTTGTTTCCATTCCAATGTTTTCTGGGAGATGGACGAGAGGGTACTGATGTCTCATGAGAGAGTACTAGACTTACTGTTTACATCAGGAGGTCTGTTCTCGAATTCATTCGAATACGTATACGACTTTTCATTTCTCTTCAATATACGTTCTTTGTATTACAAAGGTTTCCAGGAGTTCAATCAACTACCTCATACAATAGAAAACAGTCCCACTCTTACTACTTAAAAAAAATCAAAATCCTAATTAAAAATCACCACCACCATCTGTTTCGACAATAGATATTTAAAATCGTTTTTTTCCTTTATAAATTGTCACGTTTATTGATTTATGTCTGAAATATATTAACTTTTTTTATACACATTATGCCTATTAGTATTTCTTATTCAAAGTTTGTATTTATATTTATTGCTTTCATATCAATATTATTATTATTATTTTATATATCATTAGGTCTATTAGGATGCCTAATTAAATAAAGATCTATCATATATGTGAGTCTATCTTTCATGCTCCAATACCAATTGAATTTGCAGAAATCGAGAATAGAGCCACAAAGGGAGTAAAGTCGCCAAGGGAGATGTACCTCATTCCACCAGGGCCTACTATAGAGATAGAGTAGGCAGTGGTACTCCCCTCATCTACGGGTATCTGCGTATAATTAGACAAGATTCTCAATCTACCGTAGTAGGTAGGTTTTTTAATAAATAGAGATAGATAAAGCCTGCAACTTCTGTGTATACAAGGTTCACCATTCAAAACGAAACAGACCAAAACATTTGATTACACGTTCATTCAAATAAACGCGTCAAACGTAGCCTGTTGACATTTCTTCCTTGGGTGTGCGATCATTCCGGGAATGAATGTGTAATGTGCCTATCCTTTGCACTTCTTTTCACCGTACTGATGAGGGCCGAAAGCCCGAAACACGTGCATAAAGTTATTAACTCTACCTTATCATAATATCAACACATCAAACGCGCCGATCAACTGTACCCCGAGTTGAAAATTATATTTTCTTGTAACATATTTGCACGAAAATAAGGAAGTCGATGTAGGTATACACTGAAGTGAAAATTTGACCGTAGATCATGATTATTAAAAAATGCTAATATCAATGTTTTGTCATATCAATCATATCTTTTATTTTCTAAATAGAATGAAGTGCCTATATCAAATCGAGCATGTGCCGACTTGAAAAATATCACTTTCATAGCAAAAAATATCACAGCATTGTTTGTTGACCATCTTTGTCTTAAACCGCGATGAAATTCGGATTTTGTTTGAAACTTTGGTGCGCCGTAGACCGAAAACTATTGATAGGAGCGAAAATATACCAATACCAAAGTTGTTCACAGTTTGGTTTGCTTGATATTTCATCTGAATTTTTTATAGCACCTACCTCAACAGTGCAATTCTCCACCAACTCACAGTGTTCATCTCCTCACCCCTCGAGCGACAACCCCTTGAGGTCGCAAACTTTGGTG